GCCAACACCGACCACGGTCAAGGAAGTGCAAGCCTTCCTAGGCTTCGCCAACTTCTATCGAAGATTCATCTCAGGATATTCCAAGGTAGCTCAACCACTCACAGAGCTTACCAGAAAGGATCTCGAATTCAAATGGACGGACAAGGCAGAGGCTGCTTTCCAGGAACTTAAGACGAAGTTCACGGAAGCACCTATCCTTGCTACATTTGACCCTGCAAAGAAGATCATCCTCGAAACGGACTCTTCTGACTTCGCAATTGGAGCATGTCTGAATCAACCAGACGAGAACGGTAAGTTCAAACCAATCGCGTACTACTCTAGGAAACTGTCACCCGCGGAACTCAATTACGACATCCACGACAAGGAGCTACTGGCTATTGTCGTTGCCTTTGAGCAGTGGCGAGTATATCTTGAGGGATCCACCTACCCTGTGCAGGTATGGACGGATCACAAGAACCTCATATATTTCACCACGACCAAGGTTTTAAACCGCAGACAAGTCCGCTGGGCAGAAACCCTCGCAGCCTACAACTTCACGATAACCTATCGCAAGGGCTCCGAGAATGCAAGAGCAGATGCTCTCAGCAGACGGACCGACTACGCCGGCCCAAAGGAAGAAAGACCTAGAGCAATTCTGAAGAAAACAGATGCAGGAATACAGTACAACGAGTTACTAGCGACGATCTCAGTCATCGAAGATACAGAACTCGAGGAAAGACTCAAGAAAGCTTACGCAACAGACGAATGCGCCAAGCGAGTCTTGTCCAAAGTCGAAGGCGACTTCACCATCGACGAACAAGGATTGATTCGATACAAAGGGTTAGTGTATGTCCCAAGTCAAATGAGACGCCCGCTGGTGCAAGAACAACACTCGTTACCAGCACACGGTCATCAGGGAGTAACGCGAACCTTCGAACGAATCACCCGACACTACTACTTCCCAGGTATGAGGAAGCAGGTAGAGACAGTGGTAAGAGAGTGCGACATTTGCAGCAAGTCAAAATCCAATAGGCATCTGCCATACGGACAACTCAAATCGACACCAGTACCAAAAGGAGCGTGGAAATCAATAGCTTTGGACTTCATCGTCAAGCTTCCACCCTCCAAGGACCCGTTAACAGGAATAGAATACGACTCTATCCTCGTCATCACGGAAAGACTCACGAAATATGGGAAGTTTATACCATATCTAGAAGCTAGCGACGCCGAGGCGCTCGCATATACCTTCATTCGAGTCATATTAGCCGATCATGGGATGCCAGAAGAAATCATCTCAGATAGAGACAAGCTCTTTACTTCGAAATTCTGGAAATCATTGATGGCGCTACTGGGAACAAACCATAAGCTATCAACAGCTTTTCATCCCCAGACAGACGGCCAAACAGAAAGATTAAATCAGACCCTTGAACAGTACCTGCGAAGCTATGTCAATCATCAACAGGATAACTGGGTTCAGATCTTACCCATCGCACAGTTTGCATATAACAGCGCGATGACAGAAGCAACGAAAGTCTCACCGTTCTTTGCCAATTACGGCTACCAGCCAGAAGCATATAGGCAACCAAGACCAGATGAATCACGAGCTGAACAAGCCCTGATCGTGGTGGAACAACTGAAATCGTTCCACGAACAACTTGCGACGGACATCCAATTCTTAAATGAACGATCCGCCGCATACGCAAACAAGAAGCGCAGTATGGAACCTGCCTTCAAGGAGGGGGATAAAGTATACCTACTCCGGAAACATATCAAAACGAAACGACCAAGCACAAAGTTGGACTTCAAGAAATTGGGACCATTCAAAATATTGAACAAAGTCAGCTCAGTTAATTACAGACTGCAGCTACCCAGGAAGTCTAGACTACACCCGGTATTTCATGTCTCACTACTGGAACCAGCAAGAGGAAATACCCCAATTGCGACCGACACCGAACTCCAACCCGAGAATGAGATAATCGAATATGAGGTCGAAGCGATCCTAGACAGAAGGTTAGTAGGACGTCGAGAAGAGTTTTTGATAAAATGGGAAAATTACGAACCTACGGATAATTCGTGGGAACCAACAAGGAACATCAGCAAAGAACTGCTGGAGGAATATCGACGCCGCCATCCGTCAGCCATTGATCCCAAGATGCAGGGGAGTAGGCCAGTGGATCGGAGGAAGCGAGGGTCCCGGTCACAGACGAGGAGGCAGCGCTAACTGCCTGCTCCTCAGCCTCAACAGCGTCACGCTTCTCAGCAGCCACACGTTCGGCCTCCTCTGCCGCATCAAGCTCGTCGAGGGTTTTCAAACCTCGCCGGAGCATATCTTTACCACGGGTCCGGATGAGGCGTTTCTGCTTCCGCAGACGAAGTAACTTCGAAAGGGTTTCTTCCTCTTCGCGATCCAGGCGATCCTCCTCCCGTTCGAGCTTCACCCAGTCGGGATGCTCAGGACCCATACAGTCACACTTTTCTTTCAAGTTGCGACGAACGCACTCGGCGCACCGCCGTGAATCATTTGGAGACGACACGCAAGTAATGTTTCGCCTCACGCAGTTCGAGCAAGAATCCATTTCGGGTAGTTCGTATCCGTGGTTCTTTATTCGACGGACAAGATCGTTGCGTTCCTGGAGTTTGCGGGCAGTGTCAGTAGGCATGTTGCATGTTGAAGGACTCGCTGAGGAGCAGCAGAGTCCCGGGGGCATGGACTTACTTATAGGATTCGAGACGAATGCCCAGGGGAAGGGAGCGAGTGTTACGACGGAACAAGAAGGCTGGCCAACTACAGGACAGGAAGGAGGGAGGTCGCATGAGACCGGCCCTGGTACCTGGAGGGGCAGCGGGGAATAGTAGTTCCGAAAGTATCACGTGACGGACTCGCAGGATGATGAGAAGAGTCCTAAGAGTCCAGGACTCCGAGGACTCGAGTGAGTTCCCAGGAGTCCACTAGGCACGTGATGGACTCGCAGGATGATGAGAAGAGTCCTAAGAGTCCAGGACTCCGAGGACTCGAGTGAGTTCCCAAGAGTCCACTAGGCACGACGCCACTATATAAGTAGATAGTATTTCCTTAGATAGGAGCTTCGTGCTCAACTCAATACAGTATTTGTTATATACTAGTAACGTGTTACTTGAAGCCTTTGTGTCTGATCCCCTGCCTCCTCTGATAAGTAAACCTTTACGCAAGAGAACCTCTGTGTCTTCTATCGTTTAGAAGTCAGCGTTACATTAACCTCTGACTTACCCCTGAGTTTCCAGACTCAACATTTGTTGCAACTTGTAAGGACACAGGGAATACGGCTCTCCGTAGGTGCATATGGGAGTGCGAGTCGGAGGTGATGCTGTATTCTATCCTATAGGTCTACTACGAAGGATACAAAAAAGATGAAAGGGGAGCTTATAGCTTCCTACCCCTTATGTACCTAAATGGGGTCCGACTCGGCTAGGCCTTAGCGTACCGGTAGATCCACTCCCGTCTGCCGCCCGAATCGACCCCGACCCTAGAACATCTATGCTGCTATACTACTATGTCGCCTATTCCGCGTTGTCTTACGGGTCCGAGGGTACCCCGTGTAAGGAGGCATCCTTACACAACTTGTCTGAACCACTTCACTACATCACACACCTGATTGCTGCGTTGTGGAATAGTCTAAGCTACGACCCTTTGGCTCTGTTTTCTAAGACAGTGTGTTGTCTTAGTAAATTCATCCCTTCCTTGGGTGGCTAGATTCTCACATCTGGTGCACCCACCATTACAATAAGCCAAAATATGTATAGTGACTTGTAGGTTTGAGGAGGGGATTTCCAAGTTTGCTCTTGAGTTTGATAGCAAACTGAGTGCAACGAATGTCAGTATGACATAGGGCTTCCTTCATTGTGTTGAAGTAGGCCCTCTCTTCTTCCACTCGCTTCTGAAGGTCAGCCAGCTTCGAGGCCCGCCTTGGTCGGCCACCAAGTCGTCGATTTCTTGGGTCGTAGGTTCTGGAGCTGCCTCGGTGGCCTCGGTGGCTGGTGTCGCTCCCCCCGAGGTCGCTCGAGTAATCCGTCTTTCCAAACTTGCCATCCTGACCCAGTAGGCTGGATATGGGTAGAGTCAATAGAATTGTAACGCGTAAGCCCAAGGTCTCACAGGAGTCCAGGGAACCAGGTCAAGAGGCAGGAAAGGGGTATCGTATTCGTAAGGACAATAGGTCTACGTAAATACAGCGACTATTGACTGGAGGCCTTCTTCCGAGGCCTCCAACCCCTTTTATCTATGCACCTTGTGCCCTACTTTACCGAGCCCTATGGGCCCCTAATGAAAGGGACCTCACGTGGTGGCACGTGATGGCCTTCCTTACACCTTGTAGAGGTAGCTGCTAGTGAGGGCTAGCTTCTAAGGTGGATAGGGGTGTAGTTAAAAGTTTCTACATATAGAGAGGCAGTGAGAAAGCTAACTACCTTGTTACAGAGGCTATAGGCGAAAGTGCAATGCTCTAGGAGCTTGTAGGAGGACACAAACTTGTCTACTATGCTATCGAAATCATATATAGCTATATCTTGGCTTCCCTTTCAATGGCATCAAGTTGGCTACTAATGGCTGCTGTTGCTTCATGACTGTTAGGCGCGCTTTCACCTAAGCTAAGGCGTGGAGGAGGCACAGTGTTGGTACTAAGTGTCTTCTGTTGTCTCTTAGAAGTGCGGTCGAGGTTGGATGGTGATTGTGGTTCCTAGGGGCGAGTAAAAGCGCTGTCTTAGGGGCCTAGATCCGGCCGTTAGGGAGTTGAGGCCTCCATCACCACCTAGGGGTGCTCAAAAGGAGCAGGAATGGATGTAGATGGGAGTTATAATGCGTAATTGACTGGAGGTAGGGCCCTGGGGGTCCAGGGTGGAAAGTTGTGAGCAGTTTGTCAATTTGGAAATATAGTTGTAGGTGTAAATCGGGGGAGGACAGCGTCCATTCGGAGATAATAATAATTATAATTCATTTGGGAAAACTTGCGGCCTTGTTCGGACGGGAGTCACATCGAGCATCAAGGCAAGGTTTGAAAACAATAGATTTTATCTTTCCCGCAACGCTCGCAATAAAGGAATTACATATAAGGCTCCTCCCGCATGCTCTCACAACAGACTAACCACTCAGCTAGCCGTACAAATCTGATCCTCCACAATCACCGGATCACTAGTTGCGCTCCCCCAATTCGCCGCATCCAGCGCCTTCCCCCCCGCCGTGTCGATATCCGACTGGATGAAGTCACGCTTCTCGACGAACTTCCACCAGTCCTGGCCACGGAACGCGTTCTCAGTAGACTGCGAGATGGCGTCGATCCACCCCGTGTTGCGGTCGTGGTAGTGCGCGTGCTTCGACCACGAGACGTACGCCTTGGGGTGGTCAAGGCCTCGGAGGCCATTGGGCTCGGGGCCCTTGCCAGCCTCGGCGTCTGCGGTGCTGTGGGGTGTTAATGGGGTTGGCTTATAAGGGGAGGGGGGGAGTTTACGTCAGGGTGTTCTGGATGTCGTTCCAGGCGTGGGAGCTGTATCCGCTGTGCGCAGAGTACAGAGCACGGGTGGGCATCCACGTCGAGCTGGCGTCGCGGGTGTGGATAACAATAACGCGCTCCCAGTCATGCTCGTGACCAGTGTCGACGAAAAGGACCTTCGCGCCGTCCTTTTGGTAGTACAGGTTGTACGCGACGCGCACCTCGGTGTCACTGCATTTCTTGGTGGTGAAGTAAACCGGGAAGCGGGGGCCTTGGTTGCCGATTGGAACGCCCGGGTTGCGGCTGTTGCAACCAACGTCCGGGTACTGGCATTGCGGCGCTGGGATGGTCTGGTGCGCGAGGTCGTAGATGTCGGGCGTGTCGGGCGAGCCGCGGAATGCCCAGGTGGGATAGGTGGGGGCTTGCTTTTGGGATTGGGAGAAGAAGAAGACGCTGTGGGGTGTGAGATGCGGTGGGAGGGGCAGAGGGAACCCTTACGGTGCGTAAGCGTAAGCTAGGTCAACGCCTCCCGAGCTGAGATAGGCATTCAGCTGCGCGTCGGTGAAGGTGGTGACGGCCTGGGCTCCGGTAAGGAGGGCGGCAACGCCGAGGCACCTCGCGGCAATCGAGTTGGCGACCATCTTGGCTCTCTGGTATTTTTCAGAGCCGTCCAGCTTATCTTGACAATTCGGTTTACCTGCCGCTGTGGGTTCCCTCGTCAGATATATACCGCCCAGTCGTCTCCACGTGTAACGTTCCCTTACAGTATATAATAGTCCGCCATTATCACTACCACGTGGATAGGTAACGGGGCCGAAAGGACAGTCGCGAGGCTATATTAGCTCTAAGATCCTCTCACGACATCGCAGGGCAGTCTCACAACGGCTCAAGATGGCAGGAGGGGAAGTCACATGTGAAGCGTTTTGTGCTATCTCGTCGCACCATGCACACCCTAACCCATGAAGATGTGTCGGCAGCATCCATTCCTGGGGCATGATCGCCGATGTTTACTCCCAGGTGGTAAGGATGGCAACGGCTGGAGGCATTCTCGGTCCGTATTTAACAAGCGTGAATAGGCAAGACATCGAGAGGATTCAAGATGTGGCGACCCTTCTTTGCAGCGCGAAATTGTGGGATCTGTTGGATCTCCATAATCTTAAACTTTCTTTCGTAGGAGCCGCAAAGAATACGTCTTCTCACTTCGAATGGAAGGGAGATCTTCAACTGCCGATGCCGCCGCTGTCATGTCTCGTTTATGTCCCCCCATACCCACATCAGGGCCGTGTCAAGCCTAGATATCCATCTGTTAGCAGAGAACAATATTAGTTTCCGTTCCAAACACAGGAAAAAATGCCTGGTTACTCTGCAGATAGTCACGACAGATGCAAAATCTCCCGAAATCTAGATCCAAAATGCTGGGAGGTACAGTATAGTAGCACGGCGTCGTCGCTGATGCGGTTGATGCGGTGGTCAGTGACTTGACGCCCCGTGCCACCATCACATGTAGAATGCATGTGTTTCTCGCTTCACACTGCAGCTTAGAACCGTCCGACTATATGGTTGTGACCAATTCTATAGTTGGACAAGGTATTGTTAAAATGAGCAAAGATAAACACAGATGAGCATAGGTGAGCATTGTAGAACTGATAGGTTTTCTATCATGCAGAGTTAGTAACAGAGAGTCGGTGGAATCAGGGTACTGCACTCGTATGTATGAACTCGTATGTATGAACTCGTATGTATGAACAACTGTGATATGTATCACATAAGACCCTTATGTGTAAACACGAGTTGAAGCGCGCGATTACTAGCAAATGGCATGCCGTAAATGGTGTGACCTTTCACGGGCCGGACATCTACTGCAACAGCACCCACGGTATCTCCATGGGCAGCATTGGCCAGTATGAAGGCGTCAAGGATTACATAGAGAACGCCTACATCGAGAACGTGATCATGCTGAACGCTGAGGTTTGTCACCAACCTAAAATCTCACAAGTGCAATTTCTAGGACGGTGCCCGTCTTGAGGCATGGGCTGGCCCAACCGCCGGCTACGGATACATCAAGAACGTCACCTTCAAGAACTTCTACGCTGACAACACTGCTTGGCCCATCGTTCTCGATGCTTGCTACTTCAATGTCAAGCCGGAGATCTGCTCTCAGTATCCATCCAGGGTCGACATCCACGACATCGTCTTCAAGAACTTCATCGGCATGTCGAGCGGCAAGAACGGACGCCCGGTCGCCAAGCTTACTTGCAGCCCCAACGCTGTCTGTGACAACATCAATCTGAGCGAGATCGACCTTCACAGCCCAAAGGGCGAGGCGGTGATCATTTGCGATGGTATCTCTGACGTCGGAGTTCCCTGCGTGCCCTTGACCGAGGCCAGGAAGAGAGGCCTCGTGTTGTAATTGCAGAAGACTGGTCATTAATCATGGCATGAAAGAGGTATTGCGCAAGTAAAGAAAACGGACTACAAGTTTCGTAGTCTATAATAATATAGTAACAACAGAATTTATCCCTTCCGTACTCTGATCCCTATTTGTCCGGGCAAAGCCATAACAAAACTTGTGACTGAAATCGCATACAGCTGGCTGGCCTTGAACTAGTTCCGTTCCTGTCCAGCTTGCCGTGATCCAGAGGTGCCAGCTGCGAAAAACAAAAAATAGTAAAAAATTAACAAAGATACCCATCTAAATTATCAGTTTCAAACGAAGCTGTCAACACCGATCCACTTCCATGTGCTTTTACTGATCGATGATCCACTGGGGCGTCCATTGATGCGAACCCCTTTTGGCCAACTTTTCTTCTCCGGCCGCAACCTCAGCCACCTCCAGCATCTCCTCTTCTTCCTTGTCCCTCGCCATCTCAATGGCCTCATTGGCTAGCTGCTCCTCCCACTCCTTATCGTCTTCAATAACTTTATCCCTGCGATCTTGTTCCCACTGCTTCTCCATCTCGAGCAGCTCAGCCTGGCGATCTTCTCTGCCCCTCTGGCGCTGAGCCTTGCGCTCCGCTCTCTTCCTCGCTCCACCCTCCTTTAGCTCCATAAGCCGGTCCTGTCTCCACTCCTCAAACTGAGCCTTCATCTCCTTCTTGCGCTGCGCCTTCCTAGCATCCCAAGCAGCTTTGCGCTCTTTCCCGCGCAGTATCTCTTCGCGCTCCTCCTGCTTCTCATCCTGCTTGTCCTGCTTCTTCTTCTCCTTCTGCTCCTTTTCCCATTGCTTCAACCTCTCCTTCTGGATCTGCTTCTCCAGCTTCCTCTCCATCTTCCCCTCCTCCTTTTGGATCTTGCGCTCCTTGTCAGCAGCCTTCCATCTACTCTTCTCAATATCCGCCTTAACCCTCTCCCGCTCCTTCTTCAACCTCCCATTTCTCCGCTTCTCCTCCTTCTGCTCCTCCGTCTCCAAGTATCTGCACCCCTTCCAGACCATGAAGCTGCCAAAGCCTCCTTCGCGGGCAGGGTGCCAAAAGCCATCCTCGACATCAGTACAGGCCCAATTCTTGCTTTTCCGAATCGACGTCTCTTTCCCAACGCCCCTGCAGTCACTCGTCTCGTATAAGCGCGCATAAGGGCGTTCAGGGCTCTCGCCGATGATGATGATAGGACCTGCAAGACTGAGCTCGATGCTCTGTCCGCGGACGCCCTCGGGGAGGTTCATGCAGCGCGCAGAACAGTACTCGATCTGCAGAAGCTCTGGCGGTGTATCGGTGTCGTTTCCTGGGACGTAGAGCTGCTGTGCGCTGAGGCGGCGGGGGCATTTTGGCTCGGTATATATGACAGCGAGCTGGCCGGGGCCGTTGATGCGGTAGTGAATGTGGCCGGAGGAAGCGGAGAGGACGTCGTCTGTGGTAGTATTGCCGGATTCAGAGTTTTGTACGTCTTTGGTGGCTGGGTAAGGTTGCGAGATGGCGTCGTGGGCGGCTTTGATCGCTGAGGTAAGTGCGAGGGTGAGGAGAGGCACGCTACGGCAGAGAGTTGAGACTCGCATTTTGACTGGTTTTTTAAGACCTTGGTTGTTATAAAATCAGTTGTCTTTGAATGCCAAACAATAGGAATAATATGAAAGATGTCTGGTAGTAAGAAGAATATAGGAAGATGAAAATAAAGGTGAGAAATATGATAGTATCTACTTTTAATAAGTGCCATCTTGACACAAGGCCGGCGCCTGCTGGCGTGAAGGCTAATATTAACTAGATATGATCAGTGAGGTTTCGGCGACGAGCTAGAGTTTAGCCCCTGACTAAAAGTTCATTACTTTCGATATATGCTTCACGCGCTCGGCTTATTGCGGGGATATGACTCAAGTAATTGCAATAAAATAGAATCTGAGGAGTATAAGAGTGGTAATGACGGTGTATCTACTATAATCGTCGTGTATTAGTCTTGCTAAATTTTCTCATTCGTGGAGCTCGACAGAGTTGGAAATTTGAGCGCTGTGGACCTTGGTATTAATGATTTCTTAACACACCTTGGCCAATCTTTGATTCTGACAAGCCAAATCGTATAAGTGACCTTACTCTAAGTCGTATCCATATCATCGGCCCCAGCCCCTGCCTTCTCGATTTGTTCTATTTTCTCCAATATCCCGTCTTTCCAGATCTGATACTCTTCTCTCTTCCTAGCGCTCAGGTAATCCACGCGTTCCTGCATCATGGTTCCTAGTCCCATAATCGATTCCTCTTCTCCGTCATCGTCTTCATCGGCGTCCTCGTTCTCCGCATAAACCATCGGCTCATCACGTGTTTCTGGCCCTTCGATACCTGAACCGCTCTCAATATTCTCAAACCAGTCCAATCCCACCCACCCCTTCGAGCTTAACTGCATAAGCCAAGCATCCACATCCTTCCCCACAATATCTGTCCATCCTTCCCATCCCTTCCCACCCGCTTCTTCCTTATCAACCTTCCCCACCACCTCCTCATCTACCCTCAAAGCCTTCAGCCCCACAAGAATACTCCGCCGTAGAGCCACATACTCCTTCCCACTAACCTCTTTCCCAGTCAACCTAGTATGCACCAGGACATACACCGCCGCCACCAGCGCCGGAACCTTCTCCTTCTCCTTCCCTTCCCCCTTTTTCGGTTTCGGCGTCGGCAGCGTCAGTACACTCCCCACACCCGCAAGCACATGTGCCGTCGCGCCCCTCGCTTCCATCTTCGCGCACAACCCCCTCACCACAGGCCGTATCCATGCCGCTATCTCGCGACCACGCCCTCCATGTGACAACTCCGACTTGCGACTCTTATTTTGCGGGCGAAACGCGGCTAGCGAGCGCTCCTTTGACGGCGTCGGGCGGCTGGGCAGCGGGAGGCCCGCCGGGGTCGTCGAGGCGGGGTTTGACTTGCGTCGCGCAGGTGTTTTGCTATTGGAGGGCGGAGGCTGTGCATCTTCGAGGCGCTGGACCTTCTTGGGTGTTCGCTGGGGGCGCGCGGCGAGGGCGGAGGAGAGGTAGGTGTAGAGCTTTGTGTAGACGCGTGGGGGGACAGGAGGGCGAGGCTCGATTGGAGGAAGGTTGAGGGTGGATTTCAGGCGCTCGCAGGCGATGTGAGCGCAGACGTAGGCGCGGCCTATTTCTTCATCTTGCTTGAGGTTGCTGGCTACGTTTCGGGATTGCGCGACGAGGGAGGAGGCGAGGTTGATGAGGTCTGAGGGGAGGTCGGTTGTGAGGCGGGGGAGGAGAGATGTGAGGGATTGTTCGATGGAGCGGTTCATTTCAGGTGGGTATTTGAGATTTAGAGGGAGGAGGATATGGTATTATGGGTAATAACCAAATAAATATCAGAGGAAGTGCTGTGGAAATGGTGAGGCTGGTGGTGATACCAAACCGCGATCTACATAGATGCCGCAAGGCTAGTCTAGTCTACATTTGGGGTTCAACAGGCCGGACAGGACAGCGCGATTCTGGAATAAACCGTATTGAGCTATGTTATAAAGATGCTTTGTTGAGGAGTGCATAAGGCCCGTTGATCAACAAAGAATAACGAATATACGAACTAGAGCCAATCAATTGCACCAATTGCTTCGTCGTAGTGTTTTCAAAGGACACCGTAACGACCTCTCAGATTCGCTTTAGAGTTTCTTGGCCATGGCTCCAAGACGCCTTCTCCTCTCCCTGTTAGGGCCTTTACTTCTTCTCTCACAAAGTGCCTATGCCCATGGCGCACACGACGAGCAGCAAGCAGACTGGGCGACACATCATTTGGCTAGTAAATACCCCTTCGTCCTCACTCCCCCCACTACAGCCCCTCCCCCGCGCCTCGTCTCCAGCACCCTTTCTGCAGCCCGTACTTACATACCTTTCTAGACGAGCATCATATCTCTAACTTCGACGGCGGAGCTTTCTTCCAATTACACGATCTCGACGACAACGGGTATTGGGACTTCGACGAGATATACACGACGTATGGGCTCAAGCACGAGAGCACCGACCACATCACGAAAGACCGCAAGGATGGCGTGATCAATGAGGTGTTAAGCCTTCTGGACCGAAACCAGGACGGGCAAGTGACTAAAGAGGAGTGGATGGCGTTTGTCGCAGGTGGGGGAAAGCTTCCCGATTTTATGATGGGGCCGGGACACCATGGAGATGACGAGCATGAGTATGAGATTCATCATTGGGAGAAGTAAGCTTATACCTCTACCAGGTATGGTAAATCTGGACAGGGAGACTGACTAGCACAGATATCATGACGAGAATACCAGAGAAGAAGACCTGACACATCCGGAGGATATTGCGCATTTTAAGAAGCACGACGAGATGGATGCAGAGGCTGATCGGATAGCGAAGTTGGATAGTCAATCCATTGTTCTGGATAATATACCACAGAAATTCAGGATCGCTAACTGATGTTGGCCTGGGAGGGGGAAAGAACTGTATAATTTATGTGGCATACTTGTAATTATGATGTCTAATGTCCAAAGAGAAACCTCGATGTTTCAATATAAATGATGTGAGGAGTATTGAAAGGCAGGAACCGATTATTCTACGATTTGGCAGCCACCTAATGGTGGCTAATCTACATTTAGATCTCATATTAGAGAGAGTTATAACCTGGATTGGCTATCTTGGATGAAAAACGTAAAAAACTATATTCCTTTATGATCATATATGCGTACATTTCATATCCGTTCCAGCGAGGACCCTATTGGGCTCTCTTCTCGATTTGGAAACTCTGGAAACACTAACGCCATTTATACTCAAACAGGGTATTTCTCAACCACATGCCATATGCCAAAGCCAAAACGCCAGTATGCAGGGGCAGACTCCAAAAACTAAGGGTTTAACCGTCGACCAGAACGCTCCTGGTGACGTAAATAACAGTTGTGGTTCAGAGGAAGTATTCGCCAGCGCCACGGCGGCCTGCAGGGACAGCTCGCTGGTCTTCAGGAACGGCCGAGAAGATGGAAAACTTGGGATCGAGGTCCTCTCCGACGTTCATGATGGAGGCGACATTACCGCAGCGGTAGCAGTAATTTGGAGCAGACCAGACGGTAACAACGGACTTCTGCGGGAAATGGTACTGCACGCCGTTAGCATTTGGTTCACGTTCCTGTCAAAGATTGTCATATCATACCTTATAACCCTCGTTTACAAGCTGATGAGCACGGGCAATGAGTTTAAGTCCATTGACCTGGTTGAACTCTGTTGCGACCTTGTCTCCAAACAGCCATCCAGCTCCACGGGGAGAAATGGCCCAGGTTTCCACATCTTCTGGATCACTCCAGACCAGATCACAGAACGCACCCTCGTGAGGAATCTCCTGGGCACGGGCGACGACGCGGATTTGGTCCAGAGTACGGATTTCTGGACTCAGACCTCCGTGAACACACAGAACAGCTCCATCAACAATAGCTGCAAGGATAAGGAAGTCAAAAACTTGACAGCAAGCCTTCCAGACGGACGCATTGCCATATTTTTGTTGGCACTCCTCATAGAAACCGTAGACTTGTGTGATTTGACGAGACTCGTGGTTGCCGCGGACAAGGGTAATGCGGTCGGGGTATCTGTGATAATCAGCATTGCGCCAATTCAGGGTTCGCGAAGCACTTACTTGGCTTTCAAGCACATAAGGAGAGTAAGTGTCTCCAAGGAGAAATAACCGCGGTCGACAAAGTCGCCAAGGAACACAAAGTTCTGCTTTCCTGTGCCAGTAACTTCGTTGGTGTTGTCAGAATGAGCAGCCGAACTTGCTCTTGAACGAGCGCTCCCGGCGGTACGGGGACGGCCCCTTGGCTGCTCCTCAACATCATCCTCTGTACTACTTGCAACGCTGCTCCCGATACCGCTGTCACTGCCAATTTTATCACCGCCGATAGTGGTTGGAGGCTCAATATCGTCAGAGGTGATCATAGTTGTAGGAGCTTGTACATTTGTCTCCCCCGGCATACCACCAGCGACTCGGAAGAGCTCGAGAAGGTCGTAAAACTGCCCGTGGATATCGCCGCAGATTGTGACGGGCGTACGCACGGGTTGGATGTTGGATTCTACGTGAATTTGTCAGTGGCCAAGCAATGATATATCTGAATCAAACTCACCCTCCATAAGGCACTCCTTCACCATCTCACAGAGCTGCTTCATGGCACCCTCTGGTAGGTATCGACATAGCTTGGCTTGCTCCAGCCACTCATCCAGTCCAGCACGGGGGCCAAGTTTGGCCGGGCCTGGCTTGGGAACTCCAGGCGCCATATTGAGAGTAATTGTAAGTGTGTCAGGGAGTTGCTGAGCGTGAACTCGTGGAGTGATATCAACAAGCTCACAGAGGTGCTGTTGATGTGGATCTGCACGCGCGCAATCCGAGAGCGCTACTCGCGCTTCGTCGCTTACAATTCCTTGGTCGACGTACCGCAATCACCACCCCACCACAGCAAAATTGGGTGGAGTTACTGATTGTGGTGCTGCACAGACCAGCGGCGATAACACAAGGTTCTTGGGACGAAATCCGCAACACTGAACAGTTCCAATTAGTGTACGCACTCAAACACTTGAAGATGACTTCTCGGGCTCAGGCAAACGGCGTATTGCCGATACCGGCTTCGCAGACTGCACCAAAAATGTCGAAAGCCTCACAGAACAGGGCAGGCCCTTCGTTGAAAGTTGTCGTTCGACGACTTGCGCCTGCCCTCACGGAGACAGAGTTCATGAAGATAATCGGCGATGAATGGAAGGTTGGAGCAGGGAGAGTAGATTGGTTCTCTTACAAGCCTGGGAAGGTTTCAACAGAGTATGCGCCCGACCATCAACGCTGCTATGTAATGAAGCACCCATACTAACTGCCACAGCCCCTCCAAAGCGTCTCGTCCGTCCCGTGCCTATCTGCATCTCATCAACGAGCCATACCTGACCCAACTGTCTAATCACGTCCGCCAACTCACCTTTGAAGACGCGGCCAAGACTTTCACAAACCCATGCCTCCTTGGCCCCGCCTCCCTCGAATACACATCCTACGCCCGCATCCCAAGTGGAAAACGCCGCACCGATGCACGTCAAGGCACGATCGACCTCGATCCAGAATTCATGGACTTTCTGGAGAGTCTGGCCAACCCAAAATCTACCAAGGGAGAGGATACCGAACCATCTACGAAAGGAGAGAAAGTAACTACAACTCCATTGGTACAATATCTCAAAGATAAGAAGGCAAACAAAAGCAAAGAAGCAGCCGCCGCCAAAGCCGCAAAACAGAGCCGTTTGGAATCCCAGGCTGCCTCTGCGTCCGGCAAATCAAAATCAAAAGAGGGTGCCGCCGACGAACCTCACAAGAAGACCCCCAAAGATGGGAAGAGGGAGAGGCTCGTTGAGAAGGCCGCCCGGGAGGCAGTCAGAGTCCTCAACAGGGAAGCATCAAAGGCCACAGGAGCGCAAGCACAGCCAGGCAACGCAGCGCCCACCGAGGCACCGAAGAACCCCCGTGCGGCGACCCGCGAAAGAGGAAGCATCGCCGCAGCAGCACGGATATTACAGCGCGACCTCGGCCTGAGCCCAGTGAACGCGCATCGCCGCGCCAAAGTAGAAGCCGGAGCTGCCGCGAAGAGCGAAGCAGCAGCCGCGTCCGCACCACAAGGGCCGAAAGCCGGACCATCAAACGCAGGCGGCGGAGGCAAGGGTAAAGGGCGAGTGGAGAACAACAAGGCGAAGGAGCCCACTCCAGCAATCACACTATTGAAGAAGCCAGTCGAGCCCGCAGCTGCAGCACCACCAGCTTCTTCAGCTTCACCAAAACCAGCAGCTGGTACATCCGCACCCCCCTCAACATCTCGCCAGACAGCCTCAGCATCGCAACCCAACCCCCCCAGCGCCCCCTCAGGCCGCAAACCAGCGCCCCCCCCCGTCCCCACCGCAGGCGCCACCCGCGCCTTCGTCAAGCACGCCAACCCCTCGCAAGGCGTCACAGAGCCGCTCCTCCGCGAAGCCATGACCGTCTTCGGCGCGGTGACGAACGTCGAGATCGATAAGCGGAAGGGCTTCGCGTATGTGGATTTCGCGGATACGGAGGGGTTGCGTAAGGCGGTTGCGGCGAACCCGACGAAGATCGCGCAGGGGACGGTGGTGGTGCTCGAGAGGAAGGATACGAAGCCTGCGAGGGAGGCGCCGGCGGTGGGGGCGAGGGGTGGGTTTGGTGGTGGTGGTGGGAGGGGTGGGAGGAGTGTGAGGAGGGGGAGGGGAGGGAGGGGGGCGGGTGGTGGTGGAGGAGGAGGGGGTGGAGCAGCGGCGGAGAGGTCGGCTGGGGCGAGTGCGTCGGCTGCACCTGCGGCTCCTACGGGACCGGCAGCGGCGAAGTGATATTCTGGACTGGCCGTGTTGGGTTGAGCTGGCGGGACTGTGAGACACATCGTAGTCATTGATGTCTCGGCGAAGCTCAGCGAAGCTCTGCGACGCTTGTTAATAATGATAGAACTACACGAAGAATATAATAGCTATTCCTCATTGAAGTATGAAGTTCTTCACGGCATGGGACTCAATTAATAAGCTTACAGTTTCGACCCAGGGTCGCTCCGATATAATACCTCTGCTACACTTACTGATTTCTAGCTTCCGATCGTATTCCTATATAAAGCTTCCACTACCACCCCAACCAGTTCTCACGCCATCCACCAACCTTTTTCTTCTCCGTAGACACAGTCCTGGACCAACATATAGCGAGGGATTGAGGAGACCAGGAGTTGGTTGTTGGGTTGGGAGTAGCTCGCATTACGAGGAGTCCAGTTGCTGTCGCTTCACATTCTCACCACCGTGTACTTCCTGTCACCGCAGAATTCCTGATGTTGCTTGTTCCCTCTACCGCTCGTTGTTGTTGCCGTTGTCATTACTGTTGTCATTGCCACGCATAACTCAACGATAGGACCTCCATATGATGAAACAAAACACCCGTAAGAAAACCCACAGCACGCAGCTCTATTCGGTGTTTTTTGAGCTCACCGAGGCATTGTCCCCTTGGTACAGCTACCAGCAGCACATGAGAGACTCGATAAGTTGGCTTTACATGGTAGAAAATCGTCTCCTGTGTAAAATTTACCATTACGAAGGCTTCTGAGACTTTTAAAATAGAGGTTGAACAAACAAGCATGACCCTGAAAGATAGCAATAAACCATCACATACAGAGTCAAATCATGTCCATTCATTCTTCATCTGACAACCCTCAACCTAGCTAACTCCTCTCTCCAATCATTCTGATCATAACGCATCCACATCCGTCATCTCATCCCCTCCGCCACCCCCCCTTCCCGTCCACCCAGCTTTTTATCCCGCCTATCTACTCGGACAAGCCACCCCTCCAACCACCCACCGCCCCAGCACCACCAAAAGCCACACGCAAAAAAAGCAGCGCAAAAACCCCCCAATCCTCAACGAAACCACCAAAGCCACGCCCCATCAAAACAACAAATACAAAAAAAAAACGCCATAATGCAATAACACAAAAAAAACACCCAATCAAGCCCGGGCCTTTGGGCGCCAAAATACAAATTGAAGGGAGTGAGAGTGTGAGAGGAAGAGAAATGTGGGACGCGCTGTCTAATTCCATTGAGAGACGCCGGTCCGGGTGATAAAATCAAATGATGCCAAATGACGCGAAAAGGAGTGAATGTAGGGAGTGCTGGTGCCTTGGGTGGTGGTGAGGGGCGGGCATTGGGGATGCGCTCCTGTGTCGTCCGGAAGGCCCAAGGCAATCGGCAACCCCAGCAGGTCGGTGAATAATCGTAGTAGTAGTAGCAAGGGTCCAAGGGAACCGTGACTGCAGTCTAGTCCGAGCAGGCGAAGATACGCCCATTTCTAGTCCCTCCCATCATATCTGCCGTTATTCAAATCCACATGCTGCCCCACCTCCTCATCATGATGCAGCGTAATGCTATTAAACTCCTCAAACGGATCCACCACATCCTTCCCCGGCGTCGGCAGTCCCGAATCAAGCGGCACACCCTTAGGCAGCCCATTCGCGCCCAGCGCATCCTGATTACGCCCCGTGATATCGACGCTCTCCGACTCCTTGACGTTGCGGAAATTGACCGTGTCAATCGCGCGCCCTTGGTGCGGGATCATGGGGGGCTTCATGTGCCGGATCAGAGCCCACTGCGTGGTGCGGAAGAAGGGGTGGGCTTTGACGTCTGAGGCGCCAGCGCGGGCGCCGAGACGGCGGTTCTCGTCTTTGATGAGGAGCTTGCGGATGAGGGGTTTGCAGAGGCTGGGGTGGGGGGTTAGTTGGATTGCTATGGACGCCAGGGATGGGTTGGGGTTGGTTGGGGGCTTACTTGGAAATTTGGGGGTTTCCGGCCCCCTCGGGGAAGGGGACGTCGTCGCGCAGGATGTTGGCGAAGGTTGCGTTGCGGTTCTTGCCCTTGAAGGGGGTGGTGCCGTATAACATCTCGTAGACGAGGATGCCGAGGGTCCACCAGTCGACGGCGCTGGTGTGGCCGCATCCCTTGATGACTTCTGGGGCAATGTACTCTTCGGTGCCGACGAAGGAGTTGGTACGGAAATTTGCGATACAGGATTTCGTGTCGATGGTCGGTAGGGAGTTCGTGTTGGTTCCGTTGCGGCCAATAATCATAGTCGGTTTCCCTCCTGGGTCTGACTGTTTTGATAGATCGAAATCAGACAACATTATGTGGCCTGACTGATGAAGTAGGATGTCTGTAGTCTGTTAATATAGGTCTCGCCTTAACTGTAGACAATATACTTACTTTCTGGCTTCAGATCTCTGTAGATGAAGCCCATCAGATGCAGGTACTCCAATGCAGCTGTAACCTCTGCGGCATAAAACCTAGCATCATCTTCTGGTATACACTTTCCAGGGCGAGTCTGTAATGCTCTAAAGAACTCTCCACCACTGCAATATTCCATGCACAAGTATAAGTGATCCTCAGACTGGAAAGAATGATATAGCGTGACGATAAATGGATGGTTGCTCGTCGCAAGAATCTCTTGCTCAGCAAGAGCTCTCTTAATCTTATTCCTCTTGATCATCTCCTTCTTGCTCAGGACTGTAATATGTTAGAAATGTATCACAACGATCATATAGAGGCACATACCCTTCATCGCATAGAGCCTTGAGCTCTTCTTCTCCCTCACCAGGTAAACCTTCCCCACATCTCCCTTCCCAATCAATTTGATTTTATCGAAACTGCTCGGCGAAACCTCCACATCGCGCACCTTGATCGAGTTGGAACTATACGTCCTCCTGAAAGCAGCCGGAGCCCTTGGTGGCTGCAATTCCCCCAGCTCATCAGCACCTGGTACGGCAAGATTGACAGCCGACTTATCCCCAATTCCCAGTCCTTGAACCGGATTCTTGCCCAACTCCGCTGTATTCGGCCTCTCTGCACTTCCCTTGCCTTTCGAGAACAGTCCCTGCGCATTCGGCGCACTGGCAACCCTCCTCAATTTCCTCGCCAACTCCTCTTTCCCCGCAGCTGTGGCCTGATCGTTCGCTCCCGATGCAGCACTGATGTGTAACGCAGGCGTGCCAGTCGGGCTACTCGGTACGGATCCCTCATTGTGATGTCTGAGGTTTGGCATGCCCTGGTGTTGAAAGTAAGGGTTCGCATGGGCGATGGGGCTGACGCCATCGTCCAGCGGGTGGCCCTCGCTCGCAACGGTCGCTGATCGATTGCGCCCGCTGAAGAACTTGGACTGGCGGAAGCTCTTGCCTTCCTGCTTCGGGGCATCTTTGGCGCCTTCGGTCTTGTCGGACCCCAGCGTATTGATGCGGAAGAAGTTCTTGAGTTTGGTCGGAAAGTGGCTGTTGCCGTTGACGTTCTTGTCGGTCGTCTTGTCGCTCTTGCTGGAGGACATGGGGAGGCCAGAGAAGGTCCGCTTCTCGTTCGATGGAGACCCCGGTGTCGACGTGTTGAAGTGTACGAGGGCGGTCATCACCAAAGAGTATCTGCAGCCGAGTTTAGAGCTGCGTTACTCTATGGTGGTGGTGAGGTTGGAGAGGGGGTTTTCGGTGGGTTGATCGTCGTTCGTTATGTTTCAATGGGTGAGGATGGTTGGTTGCTAATCAGGCCCGGGCTTCTTGGTCCCGGCGCTGGGGAAGGCGGGTGGGGCGGATATGTATTCCAAGGTGGCGCAGACAATATGTATCATTACGAGTCCAGTGGCAACAGTAATACAGGTACGAGAGGTCGGAGTTTGGTTTGGAGTTTTGGTGATAATTTGTACATAAGTTAGACATAACTTACGTACGAATGGGGTGAATTCGATAGTGCGGAGTACAGTAGGAGGAATCTACGAATCTAACTTACGTACCAGCCACGCCATCCTACGATCCTACCTACAAACACTCTACACAAATAAATGGAACCTGTTCAAACGATATACATGCTAAATGAATGAGGTAGTTCCATCACCGAATAAACACAACTTAAATGACTCTGTGATGAGAATGCAAAAGCACAGTAACTAGTCCCTAAGCCCAGCCAAATGTCAACGAGGGTCCTCCATTGGCCAGACCACCTCCTCGTGTCTCAACCGCACGCATCAAGTGATAGATGCTGCCACCACAAACCACAACCTTAAAAACAAATCCCCAACGACCCTCGATGAAAAATCTATAAAAAACTAAAGTAACACTGTCGGTCTCACCAAATCCAGTCCAGCAGGTTCTTTCGGTGCCTCAACAACGACGCAGCCGTGCTAGTCGACGCTCCAATCGCCCCATCCAAGCTCCCCATTGCAGACTCCGTCTCGATGTTCTGCCCAAAGGCATCACTGTTGTTGTGTACCACTAGCAACCCCTCCTCAAGTCCCTCCCCAGGCTCATACCGACCGTTTGGCCCCCTGAACAGCTTCGCCTTCGGCAACACAATAACGTGTCGCTGAACCTCCAGTGCCTCCCTCAGCAGCTCTATCGCGCCATCATCAGAGTAGTCGTTGAACGCAAAGGCTTTCATATTAGCAAACTTGACAGACTGAGAAAACCTCGCAGGCTTGCTCGCGGATGCCAGGTGCTTGAGCGCGGCGAACTGGAGGCGATTGGCAATCTTGGCCCCCCCAATGGCCTGAACAAAGATAGATGGCGGGTCAGAGGTGTATATGTACCCCTGGGGGCAGGCGACTTCCAAGGCGGATAACTCATTTCGGAGCTGGTGCACAGCCGTATTATAGAGGAACTCTAGCGACACGACGACCTTGTTCGATGCCCCAAGTGCCGAAAATACATTCTGGAAATCCACAGGCGACGAATAACCGTCTCGAATATGGCGTTCGAGGAAATTCAGTGTCGCCGCGTCACTGAGTGCATTCTCTACCACCGCCTTCAAAGGCGGCAGCCTCTGCGAACCCACCAGATGCGCAACCAAATGACTCTTCAACCCATCCTCGTACTCCTCCATCCCCCTCCCCTCCCACTTCTCCTGATCCCCTGAAATCCTCCAATCGGGTCCCAACTCCCTCCCCACTACCTCCCTAACCTCCACCCGACACGCCTCCATCATCACGCTGTTAAACTCAAAATCCATCTGCACCGCCGCACTAACCACCACCCTCCTCGCCTGCAACCTACCATCCAGCAGCGGGAAACCCTCCACGTAATGGCCGCCCGTGTAACGATAATCCCCATGCATGAGCGCGCCAACGAGGGGCGTGACGAAGGTATGCAGCACCCCCTCCATATTAGTGATTACACCCTTCCGGCTGGGAGCGAACTTGATGGCCAGCGCGCTGTCGTTTTTGCGGCGCATGAGGTGCGTGATTAGGGAGTGGGGGACGAAGGAGGACGCGCTGATTATGGGGGCGGGGGACGTTTCAGGGGTGGCGAGGTAGGCGGCGCGGGGTTCGATGCCGCAGCGGGGACGGACGCTGGTGGGGACGAGGGGGTAGGAGGAGCCGTTGAAGCGGAGGGAGGCGAGGGATGGTTGTTTTAAGCCTGAGGGCGTGAGGGATGGTGGTGTTTGATGAGAACCCATCTTGTCTTTTGGAGTGACTGTGTTGGATGTGGTGATTATGGGTGACTAGGCTAGATGTGATAAAGTAACGGTGCTGGATGTGATATATGGTAGTAACTGGGTTGGGTGTGGTGGTTATAAGTTGACTGGGCTAGATGCAATGATTATGAGTGACTAATGATCGTGAAAGACCGCGTCAGAAAGCTACTGGGTTAGAAACCTTTTATCAGCCTCAATCATGAGAGATGTTGTGGTAGGAGCCTAGCCCCGCTGTAAGACGGCGTGGGAATCCTTCACATAAGTAACGGCCACAGGATTCAGGAAAGATAGTTATTGGATGCTTGATATTTCCTGTATATTATTTAGAAATTGAAAAATAATCAAAAGACTTCCCGTAATCAATAGATGGGGGAGAGTGGCTCATATCTGAACACTGCGTTCTGAGCAATTAACAATCCCACCACACTAACCCCGCACAAACACCATGTCGACGACACCAACACCACGAGCTCACAACATCCAAACCAGCTGTCCGATGAACTTCCCATGAACTCCATGCAATTAAACACTAGGAATAAATGAGAAAAAAGAATACAAAAAATACAAAACATACGACACCTGAGTGATTCGAACACTCGCTCCCGAAGGAAATGCCTGACTTCCACGTGATGTAGATAGCAGGGCATCGCGTTAACCACTCCGCCAAAGTGCCCATTTTGATTATACGACAACTAGACCAATATATATACATGGTAAGCGCCAAAGAGGATATGACAGCCAGGAGCTTTGTCGGCGTCGAGAGCTGAATACTCAACATGTCTCACATCTTCATTCATTTCCAAAAACCGGTCATAAGAAGCATCAAGGCTCATTCAGAATGTCACTTTGCTTTCTCGCACCCTGTCGATCACTCACGAGGATTATGTGTACGGCCCGAGGCTTTATTTTTCTTTACTATAAATATAACGACAGGACCACTCGGTGGCAACAACACTCAACGGCACTTACAGCGGTACTCGGCGGTAACAGGAGTTTTGATGGGGGCTTCTTGTTCATTTCAGTATGCAGAATCGAATACAGCAGGCCGAGAGGAGGGATTGTTTTGTCTTCCCAAACCCCACCTCGTCGGCTAGAATGCATCCATGTAGTTTGAGGTCCTCAAGTAGAACTATACGGTCTGTGGTAATGGTTAATAGCATATGTGGCTAACATGTTATCGCTATTGAATCCGAAGCTTCCGCTTCAGTAAGTCAGGTTCAATCAGTGTCCACCGCATCCGGGCCCCTTTCACAGCGGCATATCCAAGGTTATCTTAGAATAAATATTCCAGCATTTTTTCCCATACTCAAACCGTAATATCCCTATCATATCCTATCCAATCTACATTTTGACGATTTCCCATGCACAGCAATGCCAAAGGTATCACGCTAGCTAGTGGAAGCCTCACTATGCAGATACCACGCCATACCAAATCATCCCCATGACTCCTCCCAATATAATAGCCACTGGAGGCGGCACATTGAACCACCTGCCCCCCACAAACGACGTCGCCGTCACAACCACCCACCACGGATCCAACCCCAGCGACGACCCCGACGTAAACTTCTCACTCAAAAACCCCTGCTCCCATAACCTATAAACCGCCGTATAAACCAGTCCCACCGCCGCGGCATTCACGCCTCTCAGCCCCGACGTAAACCATCGATGGCCGCGTAGCACCTTCCATAATCCCATCGTGCCTGTATGCAACACAATTCCCGGGGTAAATATCGCCACGTACCCCATGACAGCGCCCGCAGCGGGGTTCATGTGCGCCGCCGCCGCTAGTGCACCGAGGTAGACTGCGAAATTGAAGTTTGGGCCCGGGAAGGCTTGGCAGATGGCGAGGCCGAGGAGGAAGTCGCGAGGTGAGACCCAGTTCTCGGCGACGACGTATTCGCGCAGGAGGGGAATGACGACGGGGCCGCCGCCAAAGATGATGGTGCCGGCGAGGTAGAGGTTGGAGAAGAGGCTGAAGCCGATGGGAGGGGAGGAGAGGGTACCGCGGAGGACCATAATGGTGATGAAGGTGGTGAAGAAGAGGGCGATGATGAGGGCGCCGAGCTTCCAGGAGAAGACGCGGAACTCGAGGTTGGCGGGGACGGTGCGGGCGGTGTCTTCTTCTGTGGGTTGGTCTTGGGCGTTCTCTGGGGATGATTCTTCTGGAGACGCTCTTCCAGGTGCTCTCCGCAATGTTGCGGAATCCTTGATTGAACCATGCCGGGACTGGGAGACATCCTGTAACTTCACCTCGTCGCTAACTTGCTGTTCCTCGTTGCCAACATTCGACTGATCCCGTGGTCCAAAGACACCTGCTTTGACAGCCTTGACAGCCGTGTGTCCCCATCTATAATCCCAGAGAATTGTAGCGCATCCCCCAAGAATCATCAAGACTGGGAAGTACCAGAGCGCATTATATAGCATCCCCGCGCTGCCGCCTAGGAATACCAATATCCTCGTTAGTTTATCCGTGATGGCCTTCTGAGATAGCTGCACAGCTGCGAGAGCGATGATCCCAACAGTGGCGGCGTTTAGGCCAGAAAGGAGAGCGTAAACTGGTGCAGGTAGGGTATCATTAATCTTGCTCACGCCGACGGCGAGGCCGTATGCACCAATAGCGCCAGGAAGACTGGGGCCTGTTAGCCTTGCTCTTCGGCAACGCCACCCAATTCGCACGCTTACCTCCAGACGAAGAATGATAGAATGCCCGCGACAAAGCCACCGTGGATGAGATTTATGGCGTAGATCATCTTCGTGCTCCCCGGCCCTGGCAGAGCCTGACACAACGAAAATATCTCCTTATACTATGAGAGTGTTTGGTCAGCTGATGAAAAGGGGTGGTTCCGAAAGGGCTCCTCACCATCTGATCATCAATCCATTGATACTTATCCACAAATAAATCCCGAAACTACATTCCAATCAGCTTGGTTCATCTAAATTACAGATAGAAAGTAGATTCCTCACAATTTGAAAATGAACTGCCGGTCCCCCAAAACACGTGAACCCCAGGTACCAGTTCCGGTGCAGCATCTCGCGCACCGGGCCGCCCATCTTGACGGGGTCAACACCGAGATACTGACCAGCCTTCTGCAGGGTCTCCAATATCGAAGACGACATATTGAGACAATCGCTGTAAGCAAAGAATTTTGCCAGACGAGGCGTTGACAATCTAGGTTTTACCAGTCACATAGCTAGTCGTTGTCGTTCCGTTCCTACATCTTGGCTTGGCTCATGGTGGAGATTAGTTACGGCACCCCACCCACGTGCCTCTATCATGACATCGGGGGGGCGATTGCTGGCAACAAAAATTAGGGCAAAAGATCTATATACCCTGCACAACTCCTGTAAAGATTAATATACGCTGTAAATTAAAATAAGATCTATATACCCTATCGCCGTGATACCCGTAGCCCCCAAACCCCCGTATGCGACCTCGCCGTCGCCAACTCCTCCACCGACCCCCTATCCCACCCCCTATTCCTCCGCAACCCCCGTAAACCCCCGTAAACCCCGTACTGCCGTAGCCCCTATTGATGGGGACGACGGAAACGCCGAGAGTTCTGGCCCGGCTCCCCGCAAGTCGAGCATCGACTTCTTACGGGGTCGGGGACAGCAGAAACCACGGCTCCAAGCGGGAGGAGTCCTCCGTGGTCTCGAGTAGCTCGTCGCCCTTGATTCCGCGGGGGCGGCCGAGGAAACAGACCGCTGTTTCCTCGGCCGCCCCCGCGGAACCCGTATCACAGGGGGTTCGCACGGGATGTCCGCAAGAACGGACCATGCGGTTATATCAACCGGCGGCAACGGGTCAAGGTAGGCGGCTCTCCATTGAGCCGCCGACATTGAGACAGGTGTCTCCTACCTGTCGGCCCGTTGCTAATATCAAGGCAACGGCGTGTCCACATGGGATGCCGTTAGCTTGATATTGGCGGCAGGAGCAAGTCCCTGCCGTGATATCAACAAGGTGTACAGCCTGGTTTGGCTGTACAACCCGTGCCGATGTTGTGTTGGAGAGATCTGGACTCGATTGCTTCGAGCCCAGATCCTACTGTCGTTAATGGCCCCTTTAACAAAAGGGGTCGTCACCCGGCCTTCCTGGATGGCCTTCGTGGCGGCCATCCACCTCTTCCCCCGCATCTCCATCTCTCGATGCCATATCGAGTCAAGGAGCTCCATAATCGGGAGCTCCCTATCGAACTTGAGAGTCTTATTTAGACTCTCAACGATATTGCTTGTGTCGTGGGCATATCGACGCCCACGAAACAAGCACTCCACCTACTTCTCGGGCTGGCTTGCCTCAAGGTAGGCAACCGCAGCCGGCTTCACCCTCCGAAGCTCCTCCATCTCAGCGTCGAAGATCGCTTGAGTCCTCGCTCGAGCGATCCTCCAGAAGGCAGGAGAGAGAGCCCGGCCGAAGTCGTCCGCGAAGTTGCCCTTAAGGTGGTGGCAGCACCAAGCTACGGCCACGTTCGGGCCAAGGGCTCTCTCTGCCTCCGTCAGCCCCTTATCTTGGTCCTACACCAAGGTGCTCTCCTCCGTCACAAGCACTGGAATTGCTTAGCGTAAGTGGCAGAGGAACGCAAGGGGTATGTTTTCACCGTTAGCATCAATGCCAACAGCGAGCAACAAGGTAAGAATGAAACGAGCCTTTAAAAAGGTCCCGTCCATAGCAACGAGCGCAGCGAGAGTGCGAATGTCCCCTCTGAAACAGGGGGACAAACGAAGATCCGCCAGAAGCGGTCATGCCGATCTCGTATGAGATCGACATGGACTTCTAGAGACGCTGTCTTAAGAAGCGCGATGTAGGCCGGCAATAGCTGGAAGCTATGCCGTTGTGCGCCTGTATCGTTAGCGAGGAGGCGGAGACGGCACTCTGTGCCCTCTTGTAGTCAAGCTCCTCTGCGAATCGAACGCGAAGGAGCTCAACGATGGCTTTTGGAGTGGTCTCCTTCGTCACATTCAAGTGACGATGCAACGGTGCTTATTGTCTTTGACAATGAGCACCCACAAGCTGTCGCGAGGAGTGGCTCGGCAGCGCCAGCCAAGTTATCCTCCGGGCAGACGAAGATCGCCCGGGTCTGATCCTTGACGGCCCAATTATCCAAGCGGTGATAAGGGCGTCAAGGTCAAGATACTCAGTGCCATCGGTCAGCACTGAGAGTTCAGCGAGGGAGGACATCTCAACTGAAAAGGGGCCTCTTCGGAGGGGGCTTTCAGAATAGGGGGCGATGGCGGGAATGGCGACGGCGAGGTGGCGACAGCGAGGTCGAGGCGGTGAGCCGGCTTGACGGAGGAAATCTATTATAAATAGTTAGCGTCTGGTATATCAATCTTTACAGCGGCTGCGCAGGGTATATAGATCTTTTGCCCCAAAAATTAATGAGGAATTTTCGGGGATGGGTTAATGAATCTTTCCAGATATGCTTATCGACATAATATATGGCACTTAGTTCTTAATCTCTATACTTTTCTGACCCTGCCTTGTAAATTTCGGTGAGTTGCCATTCTTGCTAGACAAGCTTGGACCTTTCATCCATCCTGGCCTCGGATTATTCGTTTTAAGGTGAAATAGGTATTGGTGAAATTAACAGCGAGGAAGAAGATGACGACCTCAGTATCGCAGCTATATATTACTTTACAGTGACCCAAACACAGTTTTTACAGCGTCGAACATATTTCTTCCTTCCAACAACAATACCAACACCACGACCAACCTCTTCAGTGGCCACGATGGCACCAAACAAGATCCATATCTCCTCACTCCTAACAATGCGAATGTGAAATCTAGACACCCACCGACCGTCGTACTCTTCTCACCACCCACTTCTCACCACCCACTTCCCACTACCCCCTTCTCACCACCGACCCCGTCCGCCGCCACGCCTGTCTCGCCACCGCTCATGCCACATGCCGCTACCGCCTCCCCTCCGACGGAGAACCAGAGTATGCTTATGAAACCGTGTAATTTCGAAGATATCCAGCTTGGCAGGACCTCAACAGAAAAGGCACCCTCTCCTTGGAAAGTTGTAGATCGGATAACGCGACAATCTCATCCTTAAAGTAGCGTAGCAAGGTATCAACTACAAAAGGGCCTCTCAACCCTTCGAGGACATCATATCACACCAACAATAACACAGAAATTCACAAGAAAAAACGCCTCAAATTAGCAACTAATCACACTACGCTACTACTATACTCCCCCAATCCCGCCACAAAAAATCCCATCATCCACCAGCAAAGAAAAGCCCCAACTGTAACCCCCCCCAGAAGAAGTCTTCTTTGCCGTGAGGCAGTCCCCTGTAACGATATCTAAATTCCCCCATTTCCCTTCCCTACCGATCCAATCCCAGTGACTCTGCCTTGCCTCGTCCTTGAACTTGCGCGTGCTTTTGTCCATCGATTTCCACTCCTTTCGCTCAAAAAAAAAAGGATACAATCACCAACCCAGCCGCACTCTAAACTCCCCATCTCCAAGAAGGTATATGTCATAAACGTCGTCCGTCACCCCTGTGCCCAAAGGCTGGGGTGAGTGAAAGAAAAAGGGATCAAAAAATAACCCGTCGCTCGCTGAGAAGATGTATGTACGAATTATCCGATCGATCGAGTTATGCGGCGCGGATAAAAGTGAGGACTGGTTGGCGGACGGACGTAGATGCGGTTGATGCGTGACGGCTCATTTGTGCCCCACAGCTAAATCATTCCCCCCTCCCTCATACTCGTCGCCACCTCCCTCGGGTGCCTCTCCACCCGCCTCTCCCCCTGCAACCCACCATCGCTCATCTTTCTCTCTCTCCCGGGCGCACCAAAGCTCATGTTCCTCTCTCCTCCCTGCGCACCCAAGCTCATCTTCCTCCCCTGTCTACCCCCTGGCCCCTCCCACACCTGGGGCGGCAAGCTCTCATACGGACTCACTTCCATCGGCGGACTCATCGTCCTCCCATTCTTCTCATTCGCGCCATTCCTGCCGCGGGACGCGCTGCGCATGCGCTCAGTGGCGCTGCGGATGCGGCCGCTGAGGGAGTTATCGTTTCCCGATCTGCCACGGTTATGGCCCCGTGCGGGCGTATCGAGGGACTGAGCTACGGAGTGGCGCATCATGGACACCGGTGGGCCTCCTGGCTGGGGCACTTGCTGTATAGCTGCCGGTGCCGAAGGAGCAGGAGGTGGCGGTGGTGGAGGCGGGTGCTGGTGGGAGTGAGGAATATGCTTCGGCGAGTGCTTCGGCGAGTGTTCCGGCGAGGCATCCTCATCGTCCATCACGATCTCAATAACACCACTCCCTGAACTCGTTAGGCTAACCCCCGAAACGAGGGAGTTCGTGTCCGCCGCCGCGCCGTAGCGGTACAGCGGCGCTGGTGGTGGAGGAGGGGGTTGCGCAAGATGCATCAACTCCCTGAGGATCGGTGGCGCGGGAGGTGGCGGAGGCGGAGGGGGGATCATGTTGTTGGGCCCCGAGCCAGAGTGCAATGCGGCGTCGATCCCGCCCATACCGTAGGTGCCGTACCCGAGAGTCCCGGGCGTGGCGTCGGTGCTTGGGTTTACCTTGCGGGCTGCCGGGGCATGGGAAGCGCAATAGTCTTGTAAGGGGTTGTTAACGCGGCGTGCGGAGGGGGGTAGGGCGGCGTGGAAAGCCGGGTGGGTCGGGAGGGCCGAGGGGAGAGCGCGCGGGGAGATTGGTTCCTCGGGGATGGGGGCGGACATGCTGCGCGGAGGGATGTGGCGGGGGCCAGCTTGGTAGGTAGTCTTTGGGAGAGGGGTAAATGTTGTCTGTGGGAGGGGTGCGAAGTCCTCAGCGGGGGCGTAGGCCACGGCATTGAGACTGCCCATTGAGAGTTGTGGGATGGGCGAGTAGCTCTCTGGGATCTGTGGGACGTCAGGAATGTCCTTGCCCTCTGGGTCGAATTTCGGGTGCTGCATCGCCCTCGGCGTGGCTGGTAGCCCGATCGCGACGGATGTCGGCGATTGGTGCACAGTAGACTGTGAGCGGCTGTGAGCATGCATGTATGGGGATTCGCGTGGCGATCCGCGCTGCATCTCGGGATCGACGGTTTGACTGCGCGGTGGAAGATCACGGGGTGACGCATACGTCGAGCTGCGCAGGAACTCAGAGCGCGAGTTCGGTCGCGGCAAAGGCGGCGATAGTTGCTCCGGATGCAGGATAGGCGGTGCGGAGGGTCGGCGAGCTAGGGAGCGGCGTCGCTCTTCCAGTTCTCGCGCTGCGGCCTCCTTCTTGAGCTGGCGCTCCGTCTTCATTTGCGACAAGTCACCGACCTTCAAATCCGACGAGGCGCGTGCGTGCGATACGCTGCGGAGCCTACGACGCTGTTGGTCCTCCGGCTTCGTGCTGCTCCGCCCATTCGTATGGCGGCTCGTCGATCTGTCCCTACATCTCTCCGGCGAAGGCTGGCGACTAGACGCACGCTCGCGTTTGCGCGAAGCGCTACGCTGGCGGGAGCGTTGGCGCTCTCTATTCGAGAACGCTGACTTGGTATCATCCAAATCATCCTCATCGCGGCGGTACTTCGCAGCCTCCGAAGACATTGGCAGCGGCGACGACGGGGATCTCATCAGCGACCCATCGCGCGCTTTGCTCCGCCCCCGTCCATCGCGTCCAGTCAGGCTGGCGTCGGGGCTCGCGCGCCGGCTCGCATAGCGGTTTGCAAGTCTGCTTCCCGGTCGACTGTCAGTAAACTTCAGCGGCTCGGGAGACATCCTGCGGATGCGGCTTGAGGATTTGGATCCTGGGCGTGCGGTGGCCTGGCTCCCATCGCGGCCTTTGTTCTTGCCAGACGTTACGGGGCACGACTCTGGCTCATCGCCGAACCCAACAGCACCTAGATCGCGCAAGTCCTCGGGTGACATGGGAACTGGCGAGGTCGGCGAGCGCTTGGCGGGCTTGATGTAACGCACTCCACTCCTTCCACGCTCGAGCGAAGCATCGCGCCCCTTGCCCGTTGCACTGCTGCTACGGCCGCGGGACTTCTTGTCACGACTCGCCTGACGCTCCTGCTTGGCCTTCTGCTTGGCGTAATGAGTGGCGGCATCCAAGCTGCTGATATAGGGGTCCAGACTGCGTCCTGTCATCGGGCTAGCATCCCCAGCCTTGCTATGGCTCTTGTAGCCGCGCGACGACGCACCCGTAGAGCTCACGGACCCCGTAACCGATCTCGCCGAGGGCGTCGCGCGTCTACTTGGCGCCGACAACTCAGGCGTCGTCATATAATCTCCAGTGATGATCGACTCCATTGGCGGCCACTGAATCTGCAATCCATCCGGCTTGCGTCCCCTCGACCCGTTGCGCGCGCGGCTCTCTTGCTTTATCTCCGTGAAGCTGTCCGGGGAGGGCGATGGCAGCGGATTCGCGGTGCGCACCATGCGCTGCATCATGGGGCTTGCGGTGGCAGCGCGCGAGGTAGGTTGGTATGTCGCGGCGCTGAGCTGGATGGTCTCGGGTTGGGAAGACTTGCGTGCGTGCGCGTAGGCGATGGCGTCGTTGGCGGTTTGGTCGCGGGGCGTGGGCATGGTAACTGTGGGCATCTTGATGATTGGAGTTACGTCGGTAGGCATCTCACCAATGGATGGCAACCGATTTCTCTGGTATCCACCGGGTGTAGCCGTTCGCGCTGACGCTGGGGTGTTGAGGGCGCTCTGCTGTCTGGAACGGAGAAATGCCGTTGACGCGTCGCCGCTGGGCGATAGTGCTGACTCTGCGATCGGAGTCCCAACATTACCCATTGGTGTCCTCTCGTCCTCTCCGCCGAAGAATTTGGACTTGGTTGAACCCTTCTCCCCGAATGTTGTTACGAGCTTCAGCGCCGCAGTCTTGGCCATATTGCGCTGTGGGCCGCGCGGAACTACACCCGGTGGCGACAGCGGTGGGCTGAGCATCTCAGGGATACTCGAGGAGAGCGGTGAGAATGTGAGAGATTGCGCGTTGGGCGATGCATACGACGACTCAGCCGGCGACTCTTCCGTACACGAGAAACACCTGATGGCGAGCTGCTGCTGGCTATGCTGGACAGCCCACTCTCCCCATTTACGGAGTAACTGAGTCTGGCGACCCCAATCAGCCGGGTACACCATGCACGTAAGAATGAGCGCCTCCATATAGCACTTGTGCGAGACGTAGATCTCGATGGCATCGTTCTGATCTCCCATTCCAATCATGATCGTTGCCGCCGTGTGCACATCCCCCTTCTCCAGTAGTCGCTGAACGTATGCTCGTGCAACTTTCTGCTGCGACGTCTGTCCGCCAATCCCACTTAGCGCAAGCAACATCCAATCACTCGCCGTCATGGACTCCGAGCTCGTAGCCATGATATCCGTATCAATATCACCCAACCACTTCGTCAGCAACAGCCGATTCGGGGAGCCCATCGGATGGCGACTCAGCTCATCGCGAACGAGATCATCTGCCTCGCCGTTCCACCCAAAGATCGTATTGAGCATCTGGCGCCGCAGCTCGTGGTGAGACATGCCCTTGTTTTGGGGCACCTGCGGGTGTGCGTAGGGAATATCGCTGAGACGGCTCTTGGTGAACTTGAACAGGTCGACGACGATCTTGTCCTCCGGGCTGCGGAGGACCTCCTGGCGCAGCCGTGAGGCGCGCGGGCGAGAGCGGCCGGACATCTGCGAGGAACTCACGCTGCTGACAGAGTAGCTGTCGCGGCTGGAGAGGATGGAGGGCTCGCGGGAGTGCAATGACGACCCTGGCGACATGAGGGTGTGGTCGCTGTAGCCCTTGGAGAGGACGGAGCCGCCATGTCGGCGGGCTGGTCGGGAGCCTGCCGAGGACCGTGACGTCGACGACGCGGCGCTCGATGCGGGGCTTAGGGTTCCGCTCCGGTCAGGGCCATACTGCTGTCGCTCCTCCAGCTTGTCCATCTCCCTCGCTATCCTTGCCAGCGGAGACATGTGATCCTCATCGCTCTCTGAGATATCAGCATTGGTTGGGATCTCCGACAGGGAGCTGGAGCTCGCCACTATTCCCTTCTGTTGCTCCTCTATCGAGACAGGCGGAGAAGGGGGCAAGAGATTTGCCGGGTGCTGGACATTGGCTACCAGCACAGGGGGCGAATTGAGATCGAACTGCTGCGCTGTGTTACTCCGTCCAAGGGTGAATAGGGTAGCCCCTGGTCCGTAGATAGCGATACCCTTCACATGTTCCAGAGTAGGTACAGTCTCATATGTGACATTCTTCGTCCGAACATCCCATGATGATGTCTCTCTATTGTTTCATAAGTCAGCAAACTTGTTTTTTAGGGCGCGCATACAGGTACGCGAATCAAAAAAATGTATGCTCTGCTTACCCCTCGGAGTACTGGATAATGCGACCGTTTTTTGACCAGGCGAGCCAATTCGGACCCGGTATAAAATTCTCGCTCCTCTTGAGAGCTCGGACGACCTTGGCGGAGTCATTGCTTGATGGCGACTTCGCGATGCTCCAGACGCGCAGATCACCATCGTGCGTCTGTGTCGCCAGCATGTCCGATTTTTGCCGTGAGGAGGAGGCGTGCCACGCAAGGGTGACAATTGGAGACGGTGCTCTTGAGGTAGTTAAGTTATGTAGTATGGTAAATCGCGGCTGTAGCGAAGCAATCAATAAGCTTCCATTTTGATAACTGTAAAAGCGTTAGCCATTGTCCCCCAAATCGAACCGGACTACAAACCCTATGGCATAAGTCCGACAATCCGCCGATGGCGCAAGCGCAGTAATTGGAACCTGGTCTATCGTCCTCGCCGAGATATGTTCCGACGTCGACGGTTCGAATAGTATCACATTTCCTTGCGCATTACCTGCCCTTGAATTAGCACAATCGTCCCCGACACGAAAGAGAAGAAAAAACCCACCAAACGCCACATTCCCATTCCGCATCCACGCGGCCACAGACAGCGAATTGTACGACGCAAATCTCGCCACCTCATCACCCGTCATCAAATCCCACACAATGGCCGTCTGCCCAGCGTCATAGCTCAAAACCAGCCTCCCTGCTCCCCTCTCAGACACATTATCCACCGCCAATATCAAAACCTCCTCCTTATGCCTCGAGAAGCGGCGCTCAATGGTCAGAGTATCGTGGTGCGCGCACACCACCGTATTCCCCTGTGCATATAGGAACATGGAGGCGGTGGCGTCGCAGGGCTCAAAATCGCGCGCCAGCTTTGAGTCCGACATGCTGAAGTCGGCCATGGAGGCCGCGCGACCGCCTTTGGAGGAGCGCCCCGAGCCGAGCGACAGCGCGCGGTTGCGCGCGAGCTGCCCGGAGGACATGGCGACGGCGGAAGCGTGCGGGCGGGTCTGCGACGGCGGGTTAGCCGGTGCGGCGGGGTGGGGTGGTGAGGGCCGGCACTGGGAGGTTTGCAGAGGTCGCTGTCGCTGGGGATGGCGAGGGAGCGGCGAGGAGGAGGAGGGAACTCACGGTGGTGCCCGGTCTTCTGGCCGCCTCGCTTGTTGGGCGACTTGTCCTGGAGTGACAGGGCTTTGGATGTGGTCGCCCGCCTCTGTCAGTCGTCACATGGAGTTATTGCCAGGCGTCAGACTCATGCGCTGGCTGCAGATAGAGGTAGTTGGTAGAGTAAAGCGCTGCAGAGAGTCGTCTGCGTTGTAAAGGAGGTGTTTGGAGGGTGGTGAGAAGTTGTTGTTTCTGTGCTGGTGAGTCTTGCGAGAATCGCACAACGTTGAAGAGCCCAGGGATGAGAAAGCAGTCGCCGCAGTAGGCACTAAGAGCCAACGGCGGACCACGACCAGTGTGCGGCTGGGATGGGCCTCCCACTTCGCTCTCGACATCGCTGTCTGAGCAGAGCGGCTACAACAGTGTGCTCTGTGCTGTTAGTGGCAAGCTCTTCGATTGCGTACAGGGAGCACGCACCCGTAGCGGGCTGCTACTCGTCGATAGAGATGAGCCGGACCACATCCGCATAGGTGACAAGGGTAGGGGGGAACATGGGGGTGATGTGTGGGCGTGTACCTCCAGGTACCTACCCCCCCCTCCCGTCAATATTTCTCCCAGTATGGCCAGCTATGCCCTGGACTGTGCATATTATGGCATATTGAGGCGTCAATACTTTGTGTGAGATGATGGAGCCAGACCAGGGCGAGGAGAAGAATCTGCGCAGGCCTTCAATCCGCAATCTTTTGGTGTTGCACGAGAGGGATAAGGGGGGGCGTTGTGTTGTTGGACACGAGTGACGCTAAGCACAGCACCTCAGACACTGTGTACAGCCAGTCCCTGTGGAGGATAGCCACTGTTGGTATCGTCCCCGTCTCACCACTTGAGGCAACGCAGGCAAGATGACCTCGCAGCGTAATGCTCTAAATAAAGACCAGAGGGCATATGGCGCTCACCACTGGCTGAGGTGGCCAGACCAGCCAGAGAAGCCAGACCAGTCAGAGAAGCCAGACCAGCCAGACCAGACAGCCAGACCAGCCAGACCAGAAGCCAGCATGGGCTTCGCACTGTTGGTTGGGACGGCTCCCTGTGGTGGCTTTGGGTGGGTTCACGCAGTTTGGCAGGTTTGGTCTGGTCTGGCTGGTTTGGAGGTTTAGTCGGGTCTGGCTGGTCTGGCTTCTCTGGCTGGTCTGGCTTCTCTGACTGGCCTGGCTTCTCTGGCTGGTCTGGCTTCTCTGACTGGCCTGGCTTCTCTGGCTGGTCTGGCTTCTCTGACTGGCCTGGCTTCTCTGGCTGGTCTGGCTTCTCTGACTGGCCTGGCTTCTCTGGCTGGTCTGGCTTCTCTGGCTGGTCTGGCTTCTCTGGCTTCTCTGGCTGGTCCGAGTACACCTGGACTACTTGGTTGGGTAGCCAGTGAGGGTGAATATCAGAGTTCAGACGAAGCAAGGTGAGACTAGGTAGGGGCCCTGATTGGGTATATGGTGAAAGGTGACGTTCATCTCGAGTCCATAACCAGCCACTCCAGCCATAAGCCATGACGCCTCTAGCGCATCTTCTCTGCGCACAGGTCCTTCAGCAACTTCATTCGCCAACAACCTCTTAACCAGACGTTTCTTGGTTGTCTTGGCGCACATACGACAGGCTCACACCCCAGCACGCCCTGCAGGGGGCGGAGAAGCGCAGCGGGGGTGCGGCGGGGGTGCAGCCGGGGGGCGATAACTGCAGCTCCCGCCCCGCCCCGCCGCTCCGAGGTTCCCATCGCTTAAGCACCTCTGAAGAAGAAATAGCACACTTGTAAGCCAATCAGATAATTCCTTTTTAGCCTTTTTCCATTTTCCGCTGCGATTGAAGCAGAGGGGGCTGGTAAAGGCGCCAACAGCTGTGCGCTGGTTGGTGATGGGTGCGCGGAGTGGGGTACTGGGTACGGGGGACGGACGAGGACGGTGACGGGGACGGGGACGGGGACGGGGACGGGGACGGGGACGGGGACGGGGACGGGGACAGGGGCGGGGGACGTCGTCACACTTTGTCGTCACGCAGCACAATGAGGGGCATCACATCACCGTCACCGCCAGCGCAAGCGATGCTACCCCAGTATCGATGAGGAAGTGATGTAGAGACAACTGTCACAGTCTGAGACGGTGACGGGGATGGGGTGATTTAAAGCCGTGACCGAGACGGCATCATCGTAGAGAGCTCGGTATCATTTGTCGCTCGCCTTTGCCACGAGGAAACAACGACACTTCTCCGCCTCCTTGCTTCCATATCGCCTCCTCCCTTCCATATCGCCGCCTTCCTTCCATATCGCCTCCTCCCTTCCATATCGCCTCCTTCCTTCCATATCGCCTCCTTTGCTGCTAATATTAGTTGTGCTCAACTGCCCTGAGCACAAGGTAGGGTCTACCCCTTCCCATCTCCGATATGCCGTGGTCGACCATTGTCTCCCCGGTCCCATCTACGCATCCCGCGGCCCACCGCATCGCTGCTGTACCGCTGCTGTACCGGACGGATCTCGTACATTCACCTACCCGTGCCGCCCGAGCGTCCGAGAAGAAAATGCCCGTGCATATAGGCGGTATAACACTATAACACTCAGTTCCCCCGCAAGCAAGGGATGGCCTGTAACCAAACACCGTCGCTTGTTTGGGGTTCACAGCCGGCGGCTGTAAATGATAGCTTGTGAGCAGGGGAACTGGAAATGCAGTGATCATGAGAGAGGGAGTTTTGACAAGACGGCAAGTTGGAGAACCCTCCCAACGGTTCTCAGCTATCAAAACCAGCCACAGCCGGGGAGAGACAAAAACATCCCGTGGCTCCCCTCCAAGAGTACCGTACCCCATTCCCATCACCCAAGTTTTCCCACCCATCCCATACCCCCCCTTCATCTGATCCCTCCTCCAACATCCATGTAAGCCCAACCACCCGTCACCCATCACCCATCACCCATCACCCATCACCCATCACCCATCACCCATCACCCATCACCCGTCACCCGTCACCCATCACCCATCACCCATCACCCATCACCCGTCACCCGTCACCCGTCACCCATCACCCATCACCCATCATTCACCCCGCGCTCACGGCGCCAATCTCCTGCCCATGCCCATCACTCCTTCGCTCAACAGCATGCACGCCGCCGCTCAGCATAAGGATCTGCAATGTTGTGGGCTAGGAGTATGTCCTGTGCGTCATTCCCCGCGTTGGGGTGATGGATGACCGTTGATGAGGCAAGGCGATATCTGTGAGACGGACGAGTGAGATAGCGTTCGAAGCGATAGACCGCTGACGATGAGATGCGACACGAGCCGCCCACCCACCGGCGCGATCGCAGATAGTGCACAGGCGGGCGGGGAAATGGAGGGGGCGGAAGGGCGAGGATGGTGCGAGGTGTATGGCGGGATCGTGGATAATGATAAGATGTGGTATCGGGGTTATTTTTGGATCGCACTTGCTCTCGGTGTTAGGGATTGGTTTGATGGGATATCCGGCTCGGTGTTGTGTCTCGATTGGGATGTCGTGGCAAGAGGGTCTGGTTGGGTTGATGCATCGTCTTACTATGGTACTCTCACAGCCCATGCCGAATCCCCTTTCTCCTCCATCGACTATCGAACACTCCCTTGACTGAGGATTAGTATCAACAATTTTTAGCTAGTAGAATTTATCCCTTCGGCTCTATTTATAACTGTCTCCCCCCTGCCCTTTCTCCCTTCTCACCCCTCCGTTTCCCCCTTTTCTCCCATCCCGCATTCTTCGTGCCATTTCCCCTATCTATCTCCATTATCCCTTTCTTCATCCCATACCCCCTATGCTACACGCCTTCGGCCTTCGCTATTCCTACAGAACTCCTTCCCCCTCCTTCCCCGCGCCACCAACACCATCCTGCAACAATCATGCACGCCTCGGTCCCTTGCGTCGCGAGCGGCAGCCGCTCCCTTGTCGCTTTGCTGGATGGGGGACAGGCGCCACCCACGCACACATTCGCACTCCTTACCATATGTGCTGTACAAACCTTGGTCAGTGCTGGGTTGTGAAGACACCCTCAGCTCGTTGGCGGCTTGGGTGCATTCCTATTGAATACCACCTGACATAGAACCGGTTCGGTGCGCTGGAAATAGGTTTGTGGCGGCCAGTGGCCGTGTGCTCGGGATGGGGATGTGTAATACAGATGCAGACGCACAGCTTTGGATGTAGGTGAGTGGCAGAACTCGCGGAACTCTTAGATCCTGCGCTGCCTTGCTGGCTGAGATGGGATATCGGTGTTGTAGACTCGCAACCCCATATTCCCCTCTATCGTCCAGAAATATATCACCTAGCAGATATTCACACACGCATGCACATAGCCTCTTGCTGAATCCTAAGTCCATCTTTGTACCCCTCAGCTCTCCCTGCATCAGACACCGAATTTGAATGTCTAATACTCACAATCGGCTGGGTATAAAGTAGTGCAGTTCTAACCACCCCTTTCCCCCTTCCAACACTCCCTTTCACCTTCGACCATAATAGACAGGTCAGTTCGGCCCCCATAACGAGGTCTACTGCATTACCAAGATCTGTCGTCAACTCGTCCCGTTGAATAGCAACTTTAGCGGAACACTACATCGTTTTGCTGTTATTCTACTTATTAAATTTAACGTACCAATTATGACTCAATCACATTCTCCACGAATTGTGCACAGTGTTCGGCGGATATGTATCCGGGTAGTATCCGTGATTCCCACGGGTAGGGTATATACCCGGCCACTTTCTTACGGGTAGAGTAGGTATATATCCGGATATATGAGGCTAAATGGAGTATATAAAAATGAAGCTTTTGGTAATAGTAATAACCTAACCTAACCTAACCTAACCCCTATTCGTGTGCCCCTATTCGTATGCCTCATCGTCAGCATCATCGCCATCACTGTCAGCCTCTTGTATCCGACCCCAATTCCGTAAGCAAAGTAAATATCTAATCGTCGGCGGTGATAACCTATTCCGCTTTGTGTAATAATATCACTACCATTACTAAATACCCGTTCTGATGCTGCGGATGTTGCTGGAATTGCTAAATGGTCACGAGCAATACAGGCAATAACTGGATATTGGTATTGCTTTGCGCACTAATATTTGAGAATATCAGTGTGCTCACCAGGCCGTGGTTCAAGCATCCACCGCCTCCATTCTGGCTCAATGCTAAGCCCTCTGACGCAAATAGGTCTCCGTCAGAATCAGGCTCTTGATCTATTGTAGTTGTAGTACCTATTGCTTCCGCAAGGGCTGTTTCACGATTGATACGCTCTGTATCAAGGTGATACTCTCGCTTTTGGTATGTCCTACAGACGTCTTCGAATTGTGCCCTTGCTCGTGATCTTCGTGTATCATCTATAGTATTTGGATATAACCTTTTGAATACTGTATGATTCATTCGTGGGTCGCAAATTGTAGCAACAGCTGAGTGCTTACACTGCTGATTCGTCGTAAGAGTATAATACTCATTAAGCTTTTGAAGCGCAGCTCCGCATGCTAGTCCAATTGCAGAGCTTTTACCAAGATCTTCTTGTATCGATATAACTTTATTTATCATCTTTAAGTAGAGGGATAGTAAAGTTAAGGGTTGGATATGAATCGCTTTGTAGCCGTCTCGATGGCTTTAAGAATACCAAGAATAATTGTTCAAGAGCTTTAATAATAGCCCAATCATTTCATACTAGTATCAAGCTTTTGTGTAGTACACACTATAGTAATCGGTATTCGAAGCTTTATAGCAGTTTCAAGCATATAGTACGTTGAATTCTAGCGTATAGGCATATCATGTGATAATTGGCATGGCTTTTAGCCTACGGCCTTTATCTGCTTCTGTAAAGCATCCTTCTATGCTCGTTAGTTCCGAAACACATAAATGTGTCTTCGTAGCTTTTCAAGGGTAGCTGATACTTTAGTAGAAGAGCTATCTATACGCTACGGAATCCGGGCAAGACCTTGCTCACACTAGTATGCTTCTGTTTCTGTATTTTCAAGCTCTTAAGAGCAGCTTGAACTACAAGATTAATGATATGTGTAATACACCAGACGTCCCCTTCTTTAACAGTAAACGTCTAAGGTTGTTGAATAGACGTCTGGCATTTACTAGCCAATTTCTCAAATTCCAAAAGCATTGTAGTATTAGCCGAGGCATTATCTTATGTACAAGTAAAGATGGCACCTGTGATTTGGAAGCTATCTGTTACTGCTGCTAATTCTTAAGAGATATTCGCCGCTATGAATTGGTTCTTGAAGGTGGATTACATCGAGTAATACACACCGGTGCTGCCACTTCGCATTAATCCAATGATCTGTAACAGCAGTGTACTCTATATAGTTTCGTGCAGTCCATGTATCTGATGTGATAGATATCCGGCCGCCATAGGTAATATAAGACTAGAGTTCTATTTGTAATAAGCCTCGGTGATGTGAGAATTGCCGCTATAGCTCTTTGGATAGCGTTCGTGACGAGATTAACAAAGTAGTTGGGCTTAAGAATTGTACTAATTGATGAAACGAATAGCTCTTAATAAGTCGTAAGGAGAGGTTATTTGATATAACAAATGAGAGTAATAACTCTCGGTATTTCGCTCTACTATTTGATGCTTGAATAGGCTGCATTTGCTAGTTCCGTGGCTTAAAGAACGACGATGCACTACTCGATAGGCTTGACGGTGTATTCTTATGACTTTTCGTTGTATATTCTACCGTTGGATGCTTCTAGGTATAGTGCTTCCAACGCTTGGCTGCTCTTGGCATATATCTGGATATATACTCTAGAGTATCCGGATACGCCGGATACTCTTCAAATATTAAAGGGTAGGTATATACTCGAGGATATACCCGGATACTACGGGTATATTAGTATCCGTGCCGAAACACTGATTGTGCAAAATCCCGCCCCATATTTATGTTTCTTTCATACATCTCCCACTTTTGCCTCGTCTTTTCGCCCTCTTCTGTGGCGAGTCTCCTTTCCACCGTAGCAAGCTCTTCTGTACTTACGAGGCTACGCCATGGATACCAGTAATGCGAGAACGCTGTCAAATGACAGTATTTACTACATAAGTTCAACGTCTCCAGCCGAGGGATATCTCATAATGCAAAGCCATAGCATCGGATTAATAACCTTTCTGGGGCATAGGAAGGTCGCTGGGTAATATACCGAGCATCTAGTACTATGTCATGAGGCCCTATTCTGACCTTGACCTTTCTTGCCGGGAGTATTTCCTGGAGCGAGCTATTTTCATCGGACGCCTGAAGATATTCGCAGACGCTTATGATCTCGTGGTGAGCTAGAAGGGGCCTAAATTCAGGTAAAAGTTCGTCTAGACGCAAGTTTATAATCCTGTCTGTATCAGAACGTGGCCAAGCAGCCAATCAAGAGTTTTGTGCAGCCCGCTTGAAGTCGTAGAATAGCTGCAAACGCCAGAAGGCACGAAAAACAATTTCTCTACCCAAGATGTTGCGCCCATGTATCGCGTTTCACAGGGGGTACTATTAGCAAGATGGCGCCAACCAGGTACCATGAGGTCATACGGGCCAGGCTATGTAGGGATCGGAGGTCGGGCACAAGTTTGGTGATTTGCAATAAGACTTCCGCTGGCATTGAAGTGAAGGATACTGAATGTCTTTCCCCATCCATGGCGTGTATTCGTCTTAACCCTCTGAGGGAATTTTGGGGTGGAAGCGGCTAAGCGTTGCACAATGAGCGTAGTAGGTGCAAGAATTTTAAGAGGATGGTAGAGAGGGGCATAGTTAGAGGGGAGAGTGGCCGTCCATCACTAGCTAATTACCAGAGTTAAGGCACTCCTCTTGAATCTAAAAACTAAAACCCCGTTGTCCTAATCCTTAACGACTCTTTGCAGAAATCTTCTAGAAGCCATGATACGAAAGTGACACTAACAGTGCTCTAATATTAATAGAGACTGAGAATCAAGACATAAGTCCCGTCGCAAGGCTGTCGCAGGCTTGCGACCTGTAATATCCATAGTCCACCATGTCCTCCCACCTCTCCCACCTCTCTCAATTCGACCACACAAAGATCCAACCTGGTATCTGGTCAGAGATGTGTCCCGAAGCAAAAAGTGTGGAGGGTTGAGCGAATCATTGGAAGGGCGCATTTGGCGAAGTTAGTTTGGAGGTTCTCATGGAGGGGAGTGAGCAGAGGGCAGTGAAGCGTCTGTGGACAAGCGGATCGACACTGAAAAGAGAATATCAAAGGGAGCTTGAGGCCTAGTGGAGTTCTCGAAATTGAAATACAAAGAGGCCGCCGTGTTTGTGGAATTCTTAGGCTGGTTCGACGATTCTGACAGCGTATATTTGGCTATGGAATACATTCCCCTAGGTGATCTTGAGCACAATGTGCCTTCGAGGTCTAGACAATTAATGGAATCAGAAATCAGGCTCATCACCTCTCAAATCTTAGAACGTCTGAAGATCATGCACTCGGAATCTTTTGTTCACCGAGATCTGCCCAAGGTAACCGGCTAGCTGACATTATCATGATACACGTGCTGATATCTCCTTAGAATGTTTTAGTATGTAGAACGGGTCCCCAGTGGTGGGTCAAGCTTGCCGATTTTGGATTAACTAAAAGACGCACCGAGGAAACCGCATACCGGACACAAATAGGCACGGACTCATATATGGCGCCTGAGATATTAGATTACGTGCCTCGAGAAGACCTTCACAAGTCTGCATATACAACTGCCGTATATCTATGGATACTGGGATGCATCGTCTATCGGCTGGGAAGTGGAGTTGTTCCGTTTCCACCTGGCCCTTGTATAAATTCTGCGAAAACCCATCCTGATTCCTGTATCAGTCTCTTCAATTGGATCAATCTGGCATAGAATTTATTCGAGGTCTACTTGCCCCAATTCCGCGGGATAGACCGAATGCCCAGCAAGCTCTAGACCATCCTTGGATGCAGATTGGTAAATGAGGGATGGATTTGTTGGTATATTTGTTAACTGGCTTCTAGGCTTAGATCAGAATCCCACAACTGGTCTAGTTCCTTTTAATAACTACGAGTAACGAACTACTTGGGAATCTACTCTTGACACTGAGGGATACGATACTGTGACCCATGCTGGCTTGCAAAGCATATCGGCTACCAAAAGTATCAGCAGCCATGACTCGCAGTCGAGTCTTGGGCCCCTCCCACTACATATGACAAAGGAAATAAGTCAGCCATCTCTGGCTGTAGGACTTGATTGAAGCATGGCTCAGGACCAGTGTTGCCAATAGTGCGGCTTGGCAGTATATTGCTAGGAAATTCCCATATTGTATTGCCACAATATGGCGCTAATAAAGCTTGGCAATACAGTATAATATAAACAATATAAACAATATAACCAATATGGACATCACGTGACAACAATAGTGTAGAATATCACGTGTTTAAGTTACCCCTATTGCTTTGATAGTACTACTTATTATAGTACTATTGTTTTGATAGTACTACTTATTGTAGTACTATCAACGCCTGTTATGATGTTAAGCTATAACTTCACTATTTTGCCCTTCCTTTCTTCTTTCTTCTTTCTTCTACATCGTTACTATATGCAAGATCAGTAAGTACGACAATAGTGTAATGGTGGGTGCACCAGATGTGAGAATCTAGCCACCAAAGGAAGGGATGATTTTACTAAGACAACACACTGTCTTAGTAAAAAGAGCCAAAGGGTCGTAGCTTAGACTATTCCACAACGCAGCAATCAGGTGTATGATATAGTGGAGTGGTTTAGACAAGTTGTAACAGATGTTGAGTCTGAGAACTCAGGGATAAGTCAGAGGTTAGCACCTCACTGACTTTTCAGAAACAAGGAGTAACAAGATCAATGCTTGGAAGCTTGGAAAAGACGTGGAAGTATGTGATAGTCGATTTACTGTATTGTCTGCTTGCCCTTTCTTAAGGAAAGGGCAATCCTATTTATGCCAAAGGAGTGTAGTTCTCTCATTTTCCATGACTTTCCATGACTAACCAGGCTTGGTAAATGTATTAGAAATCAAGTGCGACCCACAACTAGCTTGCTAATCATGTAGCGAATGTAAGAGAATCCCATAGAACCATCTCTTGGGTTCCTAGCCTATAGGAAGTGAAAAGGAGGTCCAAGGTCAGAGTACCTATAGATAAATTATGTCATAACTTAACCAATCTTGTGGGTAACTAAGGAGCGATGACGTGTAATGAATCATAGAGGGTTGTAGAAGCTTCTAGAGCTATCGTTCATGTTCCTAGGCCTCTAGTTGGTAGAGATATGCCATGTGGTAGTATTGGCCCACCCCCTTAAGGAGGAGATTTTCTTAATAACTTGTTCAATGAGTGTTCAAATAATATGCCGTGATGTATGTAGCATAAACAGATGTAGTAGAAGAGTTTGCAGCAATCGTTGAGTAGTATTGCTTCTGTTGTTGGTGTGATAAGCCAAGATATGTATGGTGACTTGTAGGTTTGAGGAGGAGATTTCTAAGTTTGCTCTTGAGTTTGATAGCAAACTGAGTGCAACGAATGTCAGTATGACACTTTGATTACCTCTTATGACCAGTTTCAAGAGGAACTTACCAGGACCTTTGGAGACATCAACGAAACTGCTACAGCAGAAAGAGAGCTACAGAAGCTATGTCAAAAGACCTCTGCTGCTCAGTATACAACAGAATTTAGGAGAATCACTTCTCACTTGACTTGGAATGAAGAAGCAAGGATGAACTCAGCAAAGAAGAACGCCCTACAACACTTCAAACGCTTATAGAGAAAGCTGTCAGACTTGATGATAGGCTTTTTGCAAGAAGAAAGGAGAAGAACTAAGACTGGCATCCAACAAGAAATTTCAACAATTACACCTCTACACCAACTGCTAAGGACTCAGCACCTGAACCTATGGACTTAGACGCCTCTATAAAGAGATCTACAGCAAATCCAGCACCTCAGCCTACAAGAAGCCCTCAAAAACTGAAAAGGGGTAAACTTACTCCTCAAGAAAGAAAACACAGAATGGACAACAACCTTTGTTTATACTGTGGCAAAGGGGGGCACAGAATTCAGGAGTGCTATTCAGCATGGGGGAGTGCTGATTCAAAACATATAGCAGCCTCAGACACAGTCACAGCTGCTATTCCTGAAAAACTTGAAAAATCCCCACCAGGCACAACTTCAACTGAGACTACAACTTCTCCCCTAGACAACAAAGATGTGTTGATGGTGCTTTCTCAGAGTTTCACACACCTGTTAATCCCTATTCAACTCCATTTCAAACAACAGGTGTTATCTACAAGGGCTATGATAGACTCAGGGGCAACAGGCAACTTTATATCTCAAGACCTCATCTTGACACACCAGTTACCTACAATTCCCAAAGGCGCTCCAGAGTTGTTCCGAGTCATTGATGGAACTCCTATCAGTTCAGGTTCCATTACCTGCAACACCCCAGTACTCAAACTTGAGATTCCCCTAGGAAAATCAACATTTTCAGACACCATCTCTTTAGATGTTATACCAATGAAGTACCCAGTCATCCTAGTTCTTCCATGGCTTCAAAGGCATGATCCAACTATCAATTGGAAGCATTTATCACTTGGGTTTAGCTCAAATCCTGAGCTCAATACTGAAAACCCCTTCAAGCCTCAGTTACCCCTATTCAGGTCCAAGACTCAGACTTGTCCCAGATCAAGGATTTTGACCAAACTATGGACGATATATCATCTCTGATATGGGTTAAACCTTTCCAACCTTTCCTGGAGATAGCAGCTACTTCAGATTTGGAGAAATCATCTCAGGAGGTCATTTTGCCTTTAGCATACCAAGACTACCAACATCTTTTTGACAAGGCAAAGACATCAATTCTGCCAAAGCACCAGCCTTATGACCATGAGATACCACTCGCAGAAGGCTCAATGCCTCCCTACGGCCCTATCTACTCTCTATCTGAATTAGAGCTGAAAACTCTCAGAGAATACCTAGATGAGAACCTTAGTTCTGGCTTTATCAGACCTTCTTCCTCACCAGCAGGAGCTCCCATTCTCTTTGTCAAGAAGAAAGATGGCTCCTTGCATCTCTGTGTTGATTATAGGGGCCTTAATGCAGTCACTGTTAAAAACAGATATGCTTTACCCCTTATCCCTGAGCTCATGGATAGGCTCTCTTCAGCAAGGATCTTTACCAAGTTAGATCTCAGGGGAGCTTATAACCTGATACGCATCAAAGAAGGTGATGAGTGGAAGACAGCATTCAGAACACGCTATGGTCATTTTGAATACCAGGTAATGCCTTTTGGGCTTGCCAATGCACCTGCTTCTTTCCAAGCTCTCATGAATGATATTCTAAGACCTTACTTGGATATCTTTGTCGTTGTCTACTTAGACGACATTATTATATACTCTTTAGACACTCAAGAGCATGTTCTACATGTTAGACAAGTCTTAGAGAAGCTATCTCAAGCACAACTCTTTTGCAAACTTGAGAAATGTCTTTTCCATATGTCTCAAGTTGATTTCTTAGGACATAGAATTTCAACAGAAGGCATTCAGATGGACCCTGAAAAGACAAAAGCAGTACTCGGTGTTCCACCCACTTTGCTCGTAGGTGGCGACAGCGATCTGTGCACGTGACAGCGATATGTGCAACACACAAAATGAAAGAAATAAGCCTCATATAGCAACTATGTAACTATATAATTAAATAATAAAATCAATAGAGCTACTATCACTATCTCCACTACTACTGTCGCTACTAATCTCAATGTTACTATCACTATGATCCTTACCATACCGTAAAATTATCACTTTGGATTTTAACCCAACCTTCTTCCGCTCTGCTACCCTCTTCCTCTCAACCCTTCGCTCTTCGATTTCAATTTTCTGTTGTTGCACCTGTAGCTGCTTTACTACTTGCTTTGATTCCTTTGCTACTCTTGCCTCTGCCTTTGCTTGTAATTTTGCTTCCTTCTCCTCACGTAACAGTCGGGCGTCTGATGCATATAACTGCCCCCCCTTCTGTAGCGATTTCCATGCCCTTGCCTTTGCTGTTTTCTGCTCTGCTGACCATAAGGTAACAATGTCAAGCTCGGTCTTATAGAGCTCAGCCCGATGTAAAACAACTGTAGTTCCACGTGCAAATGATTGAAACCCTTCTCTTGACGGTGATGAGAAAGCTGCCTCTACTCTCTTCTGCCAATGTTTAACTGCCTGTATAGTTTGCACACTAGTTTTTGGAGTTGAGATAAGGTCGTACGAAGCAAATGGCTCATAGTCTGGTGTTTGATTCCGGGTCTCTTGTATTTTATCAATTACTAGTGGAGGATTATATGGATATAGTCCTGCATTTCTCCAACCTGATTGAATTGTCCGGACAGTTAAGGATTGCTGTCGGATTTGTGGAAGATCGGAAAGGAACGTACGTAGCTTATACTCATAGTCATAGCTACGTACTGCTTGATCAAGTGCCTTTTGATGGAAGTTCCTTATCCATCATAAAATATCCCAAATTGTGCTGAACCTCCCAATCCTTAATAACCTCTATCACTACAAAAGCTAGATTCTCTCCTGTTTTGTTGCCAGAGACCTCTTTCATACCTGCCATGGTTCTTCTCACCTTTCCATTTGCTCCGACGTAATAAAAGATTATAACAAGTATTGGGAGGCCATTTGTTGATGTCCCACATATCGCAGGAAACGTGTATCTTTGACTGCGCATTCTTGACGTTGTTTTTAACTCTCTTCTTGTGAGCATTAAATTGTCGTTCTACCCATATGCTAATTGTAGAGTGAGCTCGAGGAAGCCAGCATATAGTGTCAGGGTTGATATATTCGAGCAAATCACGGAATTCTTGTCATTCAACGAGTCGCAAAGGTTGGAAGCTCACGGAGATAAATCTGCAGATAGTTAGCATTAAAAAGAGGTGAGGATGACTATCATACCTGGTGTAAAGAAGCTCTAGTCGGTCTGGAACGATGGAATCACCACCAGTTGTCCCCATATTCCTACACTTGAACTGGTGCTCTTCTCCCATCTCGAATTGTCGTTTGAAACCAGCGGCTAGAGCTTGTTGATGTGTAGAGTCACTAGAGGTGACTGGTATTCCTCAGGTCTCCCTTCTTCAATCCATGGGTAGCCAAATGATCCTCTGCAGACCTTGTGCCACCGTTTGTATGGTAGGTCTTCGTACAGTAACCACAGTACCATAATTCCTTTCCTGTAATGTCATCATAGTATCGTTCTTCAATGTTTTCACTCAGCATATGCTGAAAGATCCAGGCCCAGCATTTACCTGCCTTTCCAGCGGGCTCAGGAGGGTCGGCAGGCTCTGAAGGTGCTCTGCGAGTTGTTGGATCCAAATCGATGGGAACTAGAGGTGCTGTATCATTTCCTGCGGGCGGAGGAGCGAAACTTAGATGAACTTGATGTCCCCCTCTTCTTCTAGGGGTTGAAGAGCCTCTAGAGCTGTTGGTGTTGTTGTTTGAATGACGACGAGTTGTTGAAGGAGCCATTTTAGATGTTCTAAAGCCTATACAGTAAAAAAATGATAAGTCGATGCCTCGGATCCACAAAAATATATCGACTTAATGCATATATCGACTTAATGCATATATCGAGTAAATGTATTACACGTGATTAAATTTAAAATTGAAGCTATTTACATAAACCATGAGTCTAATGTCCCCTGCCTTTGTGAATTGGCTTCAAGGAGCCTTAACTGTCTCTCAAAAAGTTCAAAAGAACGTAAGAACGTTGGTGCTTCTGAGGTGTCACTATTCCCAGATTCCGTAAACTCAATCAGAACTTGAATGGCGTTAATCGCAGCTTGTGTAGTTGGACAGGCTGTGAAGAAGGCTCATCCTCTTCCTCATCATCTTGAGTGGTATCTGGGACGTATTGTGACATGATATCCTCAAGAATAGCATCCCCCCCTTGAAAATCCTCCCACCCCTCTAACTCTTGTATATCCTCATCGACTGGATTTAAAAAGCTCGAAAGATCCATAGCGTCATGTACATTCCCAGCTTGTTGTACTTGTTGATAGAGATTGGTAATATCAGGAAGAGGTTGTGAGGGTAGTTAAACTCAGTGTTCGGCACGGATCATGTATGACCTGAGCTGATCCAGATACTGATCCGGATATATCCTATCCGCCATAATTATGATCTATCCGTACGTATATCCGGATCTTACAGATAATGCCAAGAATAGCCAAGAGTAGCCAAGGCCACATAATAGACGTAGAATTGATTCTGTAATACTGGTTCAAATACCATCGTAATGTGACGATTACAGTAAAAATGAGCGACTCAGAATTATCAGATTTGCCGTTAGATCATGAGAGCTATTCTCAAATAGAAGAGCTATCATTACCACATCTACCTGCCCCTATTCAGCCTTCAGTTGAAGCAGTTGACGTATCGATTAATCTACCTCAACATCCAAGGGTAGTACTGCCAGCGACATTGCCGAAGCTCTTCACAAAGGGCTTATATCGTCGGGAATTACTTGATACTCGGCCTCCGACCATAAAAATGATATGCCTACAACCAGGCTGTGGATATTCACTACTGCCGAGTTATCAGTGTGAGCAGGGAGCTGCACAGATTCCAGTAAGCTTTGATAGTAATATTGAAGTTAAGAATACTCTTGGTAAGCTACGAAGACATATCTATGTATTCAGAAATCGAAGCAATGGAAAGATGCTCTTCAAAAGCAGACTATAGCAGCTGGTCTTAAGAAGCTACAACTATCACTCGATATGCCAGTCCAGTGGAACTCAACGTACGAAATGGTTTCAACAGCTATTAAGCTACAGAAAATGGATCTAAGTATGAGAAGGAGGATTGGATAATGCTCCACGCTCTTCAGAATTTCTTCGTTATATTTGTTAAGCCGTCACAAAAGCTACAAGCAAGCTTATATCCAATGCTCAACTTCGCAATTCCTCAGTATCTAAAGATGATAAAGAAGCTTGAGGCTTTACAGAAGGAAGTTGGTATATCATCAACGATCGGCCTAGCTTGTATCGCTGCTCATAAGAAGCTTAATGAGTACTATACGCTTGCTACGAATCAACGATGGAGTCATTCAGGGGTAGCCACAATTTGCGATCCACATATGAATCTTAATGTATTCAACAGTCTTTGGCCAAGCAGTACTGAAGAAGTCAAACGGAATAGGGTTAAGCAGCAGTTCCACGACGTCTTTATTCAATATAGAGACCGCCAATACTATCTTGAAGAAGAGAAAAGGGAAGCTGAGGCTGATTTACCACAATTACCTACAGAACCTGACTCCGACGATAATTTATATCTCTCTCATAGTATTTACCAAGAACCAGAATGGAAGAGCTGGCTTGTTGAGCCCCAGCCAGGTCCAGCAACAGATATCCTCAAATATTGGGCAGCAAAGCAATATCAATATCCAATTATAGCTGCAATTGCTTGAGACCATTTGGCAATTCCTGCAACATCAGCTCCATCAGAACGGGTCTTTAGTAATGGAGCTGATATTCTTACGAAGAAAAGGAACAGGCTCTCTCCTGACTCTCTTCAATATTTACTCTGTTTACGAGATTGGGGTCATATACTAGAGGTTGAAGAAAGTGAAGCCGAAGATGCTGATGACGAGGGGGAAGAGTAGTTATATAAGTTATTTTATCTATTCTATTTTTATATTTTAAGCCTCATTATCCTGAAGATCCGGATATAACCCGTATCTATCCGTCAGGCCTCAGACGGATCATGATCTTACCCGTGAGGGCTCAGGATCAGATCCGGATACGATCCGCCGAACACTGGTTGAACTGGCTTTTGAACAATCGTACTCTTTCGAAAACAGTTATAGATTGTCGAGTTTGTAAGGTCGTGATTCCAGGATCGAAGAAGCCATCGAATAGCAAGTCGTATATTCATCGTTTGGACAGGATCTTCATTCCTTTCAAAAGCGTCAAGGATGTAAAGAAGCCATTGTCGACGGTAATGAGCTTTGACAGAGGCAATGATACCTTGATCTAGGGCTTGAAATCGACTTGTTGCATTTGGAGGAAGCCAGATAACTCGGATATTCGCAGGGGGTGGTGTCGATTTGAGGGCCTTGATATGTGCTGAAAAGTTGTCCATGGTGAGAAGAACCTCCCGTATTGTACCAATACGAGCATAAAAAGCCCTTTGTCACGGTTCACCAAGGCATAGGGTATTATGAATTAAACTCAATCTAGAGAAGAAAGGAAAGAGAAGAGGAGCACTCGAGCAGTGGCTCAATCTATATACAGCTATGTTGTTGTGGAGTAAATTCTCTTTAGCGAGACCAGTTCTGAGAATTCACTCCACAACTGAAAACTTTGCTCCAACCCCGGAAAGCTCCCCACACCCCTGAACCCCCACTCGAGCTGCAAGGCACACTTGATATCGTAACACCCTTAACCATTCTGCCATAATAAACTGATTCATCCAAGCCTTCTTATTCCACCTCCAACCCCTCCCATTGCTATGACGTCGATGTTTCGTAAAGCTTGAGGGCGTTTTCGCCTTGCCAATAAACCAAGGAGGACATCGATCTGGATGTTGTGACGTAGTCGAAATTTCTGTATCCAAGCAATGCTAAGCTCTGGCGAAGGCTTCTCTTGATATTGTGGTAGTTGTGACTAAATTCGCTTTGCCTTCTCTTGTAAGATCTCTGCAGTTGTAAAACCTCCTTTTGAATCGATTCGTTCTTGCCACTCAAAAAGAATAGCCTCAATATCTGGCTAAGCCACTTCTTGTCAACGTATATTCGTATCGTTCCTCTTCCCTATTGTTGGTGTATTAATCGGATCATCAAGGTTGATAAATCGGCTGCTAAGGGATTCCGAGACTGTAGATTGACTAATTCGAATGTTGTACTTCTCAAAAAACCAGGCGATACAATCTTTTTGGGAAGGTCGAGGTGTTTTGTTGACAGTCCATTGTCGAAGAGCACGACGCTGTTCAATCGTCATCGAATTGAGCTTTCTTGAAGGCATTCTATAAGATTCAAAAGATTAGCATAAGTCGATCAACCTATGGACGGCACGAGAGCTCTCTCGTCCCAATATCAAAAGAATAACCTCACCCCCATCACGTGAAATACAAAATATAACTCACCAAACCTACACCCCCAACCCCCTCCAGCAACTCTACCAACCCATCTACCTCTCATCTCCCAACCTCCCAACCCCCAGCACACCGACTCACAATGACCTGCCTGTCCAACAACACATTACCCAGGCAACACAACCCCGTGCCCCCCTCAAGCCCACCCCCATCCGCCTCCCAGCCCAAGCCTTGTCACTGCCAAGGCCTCAAGCCCAGCCCACGTCACTCACCAGCCTACACCCCCCCAACGCCCAACTCATCCCCCTCACGAGCCACCACCAGACACCCACGCCATCCCATCCCATCCCACGCCCAACCAGGCACCCACTCAACAAAGCAGCCCAGCTAACCTCCCCCGATACCGCACGATCGCCAGATCCTCCCGTACGCACGCACGCACGCACACCCCGTTCCTGGCATACGAACGCGCCAAGGTGTGATGGGGTGTGATGACTTCTCTAGTCTGTGTATGGATAGGTGTGAGAAAACGTCATGGACGAGGCAGGCAGGCAAATGAAAATGTGATGTTCATCACGTTTTCTGGATGCCGTGGGATGGTGGTGGGAGGGGAGGAGGAAAGGGTGGGGGCGTGGGGTGTGGGGTGTGGGGTGTGGGGTGTGGGGTATGGGGTATGGGGTGTGGGGTGTGGGGTGTGGGGTGTGGGGTGAGGGAAGAGGGAAGAGGGAAGGAGAGGCTTGGAAAGGCGTGTGGGGGCGTGCGATAACAACCAGACGCTCATGCGTGCTTAATCCTCTGGCCACCACACTCCCTCATCCTCCATCGTCACGTTGCAGGTGTATTTTATGGTTTACTTCCTTTTCCCAACACCTGTTTGGGATGCTCACTCAGGAGTTCCAATATTGTCGGGCAAGGAGATGCGACAGGAGAGTGACAGATAGATGGACAAACCAAGAAACCAAGAAATCAACAAACAAGAAATCAACAAACCAAGGAACCAAGAAATCGACAAACAAGAAATCAACAAACCAAGAAACCAAGAAATCAACAAACAAGAAATCAACAAACAAACCAACAAACCAACAAACCAACAAACATAGCCCCCACGAAATGTAATTCCCAAGAAATACAGAGGATCGAGATCCCATCACCCAAGAAATACAGAGGATCGAGATCCCATCACCCATGAAATACAGAGGATCGAGATCCCATCACCCATGAAATACAGAGGATCGAGATCCCATCACCCATGAAATACAGAGGATCGAGATCCCATCACCCATCACATCACCCATCACCCATCTCATCACGTTACCCCTCCTCCGCCCAGCACCCTTACCTCCCGGCTCACACCCGCTCTCCCCAACTCCGTCGCGATTGAAGTACAACAGCGTACCCCCCCCAAAAAAGTGACCCCCCTCAAAAAGTGACCCCCCCCCAAAAGTGACCCCCCCCCAAAAAGTGACCCCCCCCAAAAAGTGACAGCTCCCCCCGTCTCATCTCAGCGCACACAGAGCCTCCACACCGCATCGCGACGTCGCATCCAAGTGCGCCCTCCCGCTACGTCGGGACGGATGGGTACAGTAACATCACACCAACGCGGTGGTGTGGACTTTGTCAGTTGGTGTACCGGAGATCCTAGCCCGGGTTGTTCGGTTCGGGTTTGGGACGGCGGCGGGGAGATGGGGTGTTGCCGCGGTTGGTGGGTGGGTTGTGGGGATTTGCGTTTTCTCTCCTTTTGTGGGATTGTTTGTGAAGTGCCGTATGCACAGCGGGAAGGCGGCTGCACGCCCGCATGAGTCGTATACTGTACGCTCGATGGTCTGTCATGTCAGGTACGGTAACTCAAATTCGCAAGTTACATGTGGACCACTCATCCGGGGGAGGGAGGAAGGGAGGGAGGAAGGGAGGAAGGGAGGAAGGGAGGAAGGGAGGGAGGAAGGGAGGAAGGGAGGGAGGAAGGGAGGAAGGGAGGGAGGAAGGGAGAGAGGGAGGGAAGGAAGCAAACTCAACCATCTGTCCTGTCCCCTCTCTCGTTACTCATCATCTCCTCTTTCCAAACCAGAGTATGAGGAGTGGAGAAGCCGCGGAGCTCGGGACGGAGCCAAAACCCAACAACCCGTTTACCACCTCCCCTACATACGGCGGCTTTTTTCACTTCCCCGAGGTACGGACAGGCGCTCTCCCGAATTGACAAAAGTTACATGTGGAGCACCCCAGCAGGAAGACAGACCCAACGATCTATCCACGCTCCCTCGGTATTCAGTCTCCCCTGAACTAGACAATTTCCCCCTCTCACCTCCCAAATCCCCAAAGTTAACCTGCCAAGTGGAGCGAAGACGCGAGCAACCCGTCCATTCCCACTCCTTCTCCTTCTCCTTCTCCTTCTCCCGCTCCCTCCCTCCCTTCCCTCGACATTTTCAGAGCCAAACTAGGACCACCCCGAACCCGAGGCAATGGGGAAATTAATTTTCAGTGGGGATTCCGACAAGGGCTCCTTAAATTGGCGTTGTTAGGGGTTCGGTGGATTGGTGTAGGGCCCGGTGTGGTGGGAATTAATTTCTCGTACCGTACTATCGTAGAGTGAGCGGGCCGGGGCGGCAATATCACGGGGGCTGGTACAAATGAATGCATAAGGTATATGTATGTATGTAATACTCTCTTCTCTGGCATTAGCATCACCATAACCCCCCCTGCCCCCGTCAATTCTGCCTCGGTCACAATCCAGTAAAGCCAATCTTCCATCCCCTCCCCTCGGCGCCCAGGGGACCCAGAGAGTGGGTATTCCATCCCCTCCCCTCGACGCCCGGGGGACCCGGAGAGTGGGTATTCCATCCCCACCTTCCTCGTGCACGCATCCGTTTCCAATCCTCGCGTCTCCTCCTCCTTCCTCCTCCCAAGATTCATCACTCCTCAGAATTCGGTTTGGGTTTAAAGGGCCCCCTTCCCGACCTCCGCGGGTGGGGTGGTGGGGCGGGGGAATGGGTCTGGGAGATGGGGGTGGGGGGGATGATTGGCGGTATTGGGCGGGCGGGAGGGAGGAAGGGGATGTACCGTATGGTAGGGGTGTGTGTGTGGGTGGGTGGGGGGGCGGAAAGAGGGGGGGGGTGGAGGAGGAGGAAGTGGCGGAAGGTGTGTATTTTTGGAGAGAGGGAAGGATGGATGGATGGGTGTGTGATGCTACAGTCTGAATTAAGCAAACCCCGTCTCGTCACGTCACGTCTCGGGGATGGATCTGTTTGTTTTACGCGCCTCGCTCCTCGCGCCTCCTACGATCCGATGCCATATGATGCAACAATCCGGATTTCCAGCTGCCACCGCCATCCCAAAGCCAGCTCCAGACCACAATCAAGCACCTCTGCATGTATGTCTGTATGTTTCCGTCCCCCCCTCCGCTCCTCCCTCAAACATCGCCACCCCTCGGTCTCGGCCCATCCTTCAACGCCCAGCTGTCAGTCTCCCCCCGTTGCTTCCCCATCCTCCCGTTCCACCTGAACTGATACAGTTACATCCCGCCACCCCGCCCCGACTAACTATCGACCGTCTGCGTCCGTGTTCCACACGTTGGAAGCTACAGCTCAGATATCCGACCAGCGGTTTCCCGTCTCGACTCGGACACCGGCGGCACCTCGCCAGCGCCGCGGTCCAATTAGAACGGAGAAGAGGAGGGAGGCGGTCTGTTCACCGCCCGCCCGACTACTGCAACCCAAGAAGGTCCAGCGATCTGGGTGCAGCGGAGATTACGATACGTACTGGGTGGGTGGAGTCGAGCGACGGAAACGGAGGCGGGATGTGGGCGGGGGGGGCATCCCGTCACTCCAATATCCATCCCCATCGCAGCTTCTCCCCCAAGTCGCGATGCAGTGGGATGATGATGAGATGGAGGGGAATGACTCGAGTGAGTCAACTGTCAGATTGTTGATGGATGGGATGGGGCGGGATGTACGGAGTAGGGACGGTAGATATGACGATGGGAGGTGAGGGGTGTTGTTATCGTTTGTGGTCCAGCCGTCGCGTCTCTGTAGTCCAGTTGCCGCGCCTCCGTGTCCTGTTGTCCTGTATGTCCTCTGCTCACCGTAAATGCGCACGTCTGACTGCGCGTGCATCGTGCATCGTAGACGGGGTGGTGTAGGGTGGTGTAGGGTGTCGCGAGCGAAGAGGCGGGCATCATCATAAGTGACAGGGCGCCTTGGGCGGCCCTGTCGGGCGCTGTCGTATACAACAGATGAGTGGAAGGTACGACTGACTGATACAGCTGGCGATACAATACACTGCCCACCACCCCCATCACAGATCACAGTGACCGCACCGTTTCCCTACCACCACTCCCCCACGCCCTATCACGCCCTATCACCCTATCACTATCACCCCTATCACACCCTATCACACCCTATCACACCATCCCATCATCACCACGGGGCTGCTACTTATCGACCGTCTGGATGCACCCGCAAAAGCAACAAATCCCCCCCACCCCCTCCCCATCTCCCCCCACCCCCCGCCCCCCTCCCCATCTCCCCATCTCCCCCCGCCCCCCTTGTCCCCACCCCCCATCGCCAATCCCCACACACCCCACACACCCCACACACACACCGCGTCGCCGCGTCTCGTCCGTCGGTGAAACCCCCCTCCCCCCCATTCCGCCTAGCCCGTCTTAGACCGCCGAACGCCACGCCCGTGAACGGCCCACGGCTGCTCTGCCAGCGGTACTCTACATCCGGGCTTGTACACACGGAGCAGGCGTCGTTGTTTGGAAAAAGGAAAAGGCCGCCATGACGATGAAGGGGGAGAGGGAGATCTGACCATAGGGGGGGGGCGGGATATGGGGCGGGCGAACTGCCAGGAGATGATGGGAGAATAAACCAAGTTACAGTACAGTACACTGGGGGGCGTGGAATTTGTATACATACCCCCTCCCTTCCTGCTCGGTCGGTCTGTTCGCGGTGATTCTTTCTTGCTGGTAAAGAGACAAAGACGGCATATTATTGAAAGACAGAGACATACCACACAAGACTTCCATACCATACAAGACTTCCATACCATACAAGACTTCCATATCAACTATAATACCAACTTCCAACTTCCAACTTCCTACATTTCTCACCCGCTCGCTATCTCGCCGCTTTCAACCATTTTATCACCCACATAGTCATCACCAACTTCGGCCAATATTCACCCTCACCACCACCTTCTCAAAACCCACCACAACGCACCATCCCGTCTGCAACCTCACATACGGAGTACACACCACCAAAAAACATCGGGCCATCTCACATCCCCGCAAAAAATCAAGAACATTTCAAACATTCAGACCCCGACGACTCACCCCACACCACCGCCCGCCCTAACGACGCCCGCCGTTCGTTTGCAGCCGCCAGACACGGAACCTCACACATCTGAGACAACCAACTGGTAATCGATCGGACGCGTGCGACCACCTACCAGCGTCGCGGGTTGTAATCGGTCCATCTGGAGTGCAGTACAGTGCTGTCATCGATCAGACGGACAGACAGACAGACAGACACCGCATAGTTCCTCGCACAGTGTGATATAAACCGCCCTTCTCGCCCCATCTGGTGCAGTCAGATAGCGATCCGATATCCACCCACCAACCACCCTCACCACCACACACAAGAAGTCAAAATGTACTTCCCCTACCCCCAGTTCTTCACCTCCTCCTCCTCCGCCACCTCCTCAGCAGCATCGTCAGCAGCTTCATCACCTACATCCTCCGCCCCCTCAACGCCGCGCTCACACCCAACATCCTACCACGCCACCTCTCCCTACCAATCCTCCACCACCTCCGCATCACCAATCTCCATCTCCTCCCCCTGCGCCTACCCATCCTGGCCTACGCGGCCATCTCTCCAATCCTCATCCCGCCATGAAAACGCACCCTTCGCACACACAGCCGCTTCAAGCTACCTCGACGACGACGATCTGAGTCCGTTGGATGAGGGGGAAGAGGAGTTGTTACTCGCACAGACGCGGCCGACGAGGTCGCTGGTGGATACGAGAGCGATCCGCGAGGCGCTGTTGGAGGAGGGCGCCAGGAAGAAGGCGAGGAAGCTGAAGGTTGTGCGTAGGAGGGGGAGTGGAGGGAGTGAGAGGGGGAAGTTGAGTACGATTGTTGAGGGGAGTTATGTTGGGTAGATGTGTCTACCTTGGCGGGGTGGTTTACTTTCTTTTCCTCCTTGGCTTGGATGGGAGCGACTTCATTTTTATTATACCCTTTTTCAGTACTTCGCAGTACGGACACAGCACAGGCGGCATACATCTTAATACTTTTCTTTTGTTATAATATTTTGCTTATCAGCGAGCGAAGCGGCATTGGATTGGATGGGGGACCTTTGAGTGTGGGTTGGGATAAAAAGCATTTGAGAGGTGGGAGAAGGGGGATAGCAAAGCGCTGAGAGCAATCGGGTGCGGGGTGACACAGCTGGATACATGATATCGCTGAGGGTGTAGATAGTATAGCATAGTTAGGATAGGATAGTTAATATGATACCCTGATATTTTATATACTGTTTGCGGTTTGCAGTGCCTTTTGGCCTCGTGATCGGTCTCGAGGTGTCGATCTCTCAGTCTCTGCGCCTCCCACTTGGTCTTGAGGTTTCTCTGTTTCTATGCCTATCTCTTAGTATCTAAGTCTCTCAGTTCCCCGCTCCCCCTCCTCGATCTCTTAGACTATCTGCCTCTCTTAGTCTCTCTGCCTCTCTCCTAGTCTCCCCGTCTCTATGCTTCCTTCTTAATCTCATGGCCTCTCTGCTATGGGGTCGGTATCTCAGTGTCTTAGTATCTCAACCTCTAGCTCGATCTCTCAGCGAATCAAAGAGAGATCCCATGTATTAATTCCAGCACTGTTTCAACGAAACTTACGCCAGTTCCTTTCCATCTTTATCCACACCACCCGGAATACCAACAGCCTCTGGGTCGTCTAGACACCGCCGACACAGCAATACCATATTGGTATACTTTCTCCCAAGTCTACGAGGTGGTTCACGCTCAGCAAGACTCTCTAACATCTCTTTATCCCGAAAGGCTCGCAAGCGAGGATCTCTCTCTTCGCCTGGTGACATGAGTTTAACTTATTCCGAAGCAACCGGAACGTTACCTTAAGTCACAAGTCACAAGCGAAGTCCAAAGACAATCCCAAAAGCACTACGCCAATGCTATATACATCATGCTGCATCTTATACTGCTCCTCGGGCAAAATACCTTGGCGTGTTGGATGGCGGTCTATAGATCCCGTCAAAAAGCCATGGGATATAAAAGGAAGCTTAGAACATACAGAGGTTCTTCTCCCAACTCTCATCTCCAATCAAATAAGTGTGTCCATCCGCAGGGCGAACCCTCTCGAACACCAACCAAGAACGGCGCGCCAATACTCGACGTTTCATTCTCAAACACAACAACTGTTTCCGGCCGAATGCTCTTGTGGATGAAGTGGACATACAGAACCGAATAGGTGAGTTGGCGCGCGAGGTCGAGTCGCTCATGCAATGGGAAAGGAGCAGCTTCCTGTAAAATGCCACGGAGAGTTCGCGGGTTCCGGAAGTCTTTGGGGATTTCAAACACGAATGAAAAGGTTGGAAGAGGCTTGGGGTGTCCGAACTGATCTGCGACAGTCTCTGATCCTTTGATGATTCCTTGGCATTTGAGTAGGCCGAAGTTGGGGGAGTTGACTAAGGTGAGCGTCGCAGTCAGCTGGCCTTCTAGCTCGGATAAAAGGAGTGATTGCATCTCGAGATAGTCGTCATCTAAAGTGGTAGCAATTGATTTAAGGAACCTGATTTGGGCTTCGGTCTTCCGCCAGTTGTGCTCGATTGTGACCAAAAAGGCCCTCGTCTCGCCCACTGCATGGCGATAACTCTTGCATCGTTTCACTAGTTTGGTTCCGTATCTGTGTAGAAAATACAGGTAACGTACATGTACTCTAGGTTGCTAAACAATCCCGTGGCCTGGTGGGTCACGTTTATCATGGACTATATCAACAGCCGTTTGTGCAATAACACCACTATCAACTAGCATCTTCCGTTGGTTGTCTGAATTGATAGTCAGCGAGGCGCCACATTATCAAGCAAATTATGGATTCACTCAGGTCGTTAACAGGAGCCCTGAAGTTTTCGCTGATACGAGGAGGGGCCACCTGGGCTGCTTCGCGCTCCAGTTTATCTCGCTTCTATCATTGCTCGTAGATTCGACTATATTGTCTACAAAAACCTCTCCGATTGGGTACATTTCGTGCCGCTCTTGGGCTATAGTTGGAGAGAGCCCCGTTTAAATTCGAGCATATAACTGGCCATAGGTGCGCCGACAACGTGAATCAAAGTCCCCAGATCGGCATTGGCACCGGAAGGGACAAAAATTGCAAAGTGCGCTCGCTGTTTGGAGATGTTGCACTCATAAGGCGAGCAGAGTAGCAATGCGATCTGTAATATCTCCCTAAACTTCACAACATCTGGCCCATCTACAAGCGTCACGGGTGAGATGAGGAGATCGGGTATTATTATTGGAGCGAAAATAGCAATTAACGCACGATATACATCTACATGTAATCTGGCCATTATGAAGCGTTTATGAGGTAGACTGCTATGATGCAGAGGGAAGTGCACAGGAGCGAGGAGTTCCTCAAGGGGCATGGATATATACATCACAAACTGACATGAGAAATCGAAGACACAGTCACCTTCTTTGATCATTTTGGTAGGAGCTACGAATGTTTCATTTCATCTCAATCACAGTTCCCTGCCTCATTTCATCATCTTCCTCGCGAATAGCGTCCTTCCCAGCTTATATATACAATTGAAATAGGAACCATCACAACTGATGATCCCTGGTATGATTACTAGCCATGGCGAGTCCGATCTTGTCGCACCACCCATGCAGGATCTTTCGTCGCAGTACCCGTTTTTTTTATAGCACTGAACCTTCTGCGGTCAGCCCACAGGAGTCGGCTCCAATGAGGTGCAAGAACGCGAAATAAGGTGCGGCATGTGGGCCGGAATCAAATGGATCGACTGCTCCACACAGTGTTGGCGAATCGTCCTCTCTGGGCACCCTCAGTTCCCCTCCCTCAAGTGCCTGCTAGGCGCCAATATCACCTCTCTGGGCGACCGCTTGTCGACTCGTGGTCATCTCTAACGAAGATGCAAGAGTCTGTTATACAATGGCCGCTTGGCTTGAATGGCAAGGATACAGTTGGCGCGGGCATCACGGCCATTGTCGCGCGTCTTGATGCTGTTGTAAAGTTCTGTGGACCTTCGCAATTGCACCTCCTAGATCGGGAGAAGGCCATCTATCAGCGCCTTGGTCGCGACCATAGTGGCATCGTTCGATACTTTGGCGTCCTGGAAAATGCCATCATCTTGCAGTTTGCGAGCCAGACATCTATTAGGCAATACCTTGCAAGGCACAGGAAACAGGTTCCGCTTTCTCTCAAGCTTCGTTGGGTTGAACAACTTTTCGACGCCGTGCGGTTTATCCATTCAAGAAGCGTGTTACATGGCGACATATCCTGCAACAACGTTTTCCTTGATGACGATCTCAATAATAAGTTGGGTGACTTCGCCGGGTCTGCCATTGACGACCTTCCACCACTCGTCTGTTATGAGACCAGTCACGAACTTCCTGGTGCAGATATCTCGACGAGGACTGAACTCTTCGCCCTCGGCTCTACTACTTATAAGATAATGACCGGATCGAAGCCTTACGAGGATCTACAAGACCATGAAGTAACTGCTGCTTTCTTTGAAGGTCGCTATCCTGATTTACAGTCCATCTCTACCTTCAGGAATACAATCATGAACTGTTGGAGTATTTGACCGCTGAAGAAGCCCTTCACGATGTGAAACTAGAGGGTACGTTTGACTCTTCGACTAAATTGCAATGCTGAACCATTCGTACAGTCGCTACTATCAAAGAGACACATATAACCAGCTTCCACGCCTTTCTCCTCAGCCACAAATCAATATTGTTCCCCTTCCTCCTTACTGCTGTCTCCCTGGTTCCTTTTGTAGGCTGGGTAAGGCGCTGGAGATTACTTCCATAATGCTTATCAGCAAGGCCCATGGTCAATGTCTTCCCCAAACTCACCTGGCTGATTAGAGGCGGACAGTGCGGGCAGTGGCCTAACTGTTTAGAGGACCCAGTCACAATCACATTCCCGCTCAGGTCCTTGACTGGAGTAGCGTCTGGGCAATGGTGCCCGTTTAGTTTGGCCTTGGTGCATTCATCCCATTCCCGAACGGGTTGAATATGACAAGCTCTACATTTGCTGTAGTAGAACGATTCGTCGAAGTAATGGCACATTTTGATTATGAAGAATGGATTCGAGGCTAAAACTGTATTGGGGTCTCGGTTGTTAAACCTGACTTGAACCCAAGGCATGGAATAAATAATTCTCGAGATGTAAAATGAGGCATTACCTTATTATACCTGAAGTCACCCTGCTGCCTAAATTCACCGACATACAAGTCATTAGATGTAATCAATATCGTGATGGACTTGCATGGCAGTGAGCGATTAGAATGGCAGTATTGTTGATCGTGTGGTTCGACCTGCAGCCAATATAAAAATGGCGGGATGCATTGTAGAAACACCTAGGGCTCGGCACGGATGACCATTTTATCCGTCAAATCCGTGCATCCGTGAATATGAATACAAATTATGATTTTTACTAACGGATACGGATGCCAATCCATTCAATCCGCGGATTGAACGAATTAGATAGACTGTAGTTAGAAACTGAATTCATTGAGGTCATAGAATGCAGCCCTAGCCTCTAACGCCCCCCTTTACTCAAATCCCTCTCCCACATCGCACGAAGTAGTGTTAGAGTCCTCATAGTTTCACTACTTAGACTATGCCGACGTAAACCTAATAAGTCTGTATTTTGGTTGAAAAGGCGCTCACAACTAACCTCTGTAATGGGAATTGCAAGGAAATCGCGTGCAACACGTGCCATTAGCGGATATTCTCCCTTATGAGAATCCCACCACTTTAGGAGCCAATCACTTGACTTTGCATCACTAACAGCCACTGGTGGTGAATCAAGATATATATCAATATCAGACACCTTTCTTCTTTTTGCCAAAGCGCTCAAGCATACGCTTATATAGATCTAGCTCAGGTTGAGATGTCATTGTCTTCAGATTGAGTAATGGTGGGAGTACCAGCTCATCGCTCAGAGGAGGAGTTGAATAATGATCATGAAGGTAGGTCCGTATTTGCTACTTGACAACATTTCTCGCATCTTCGTCTTTAAATTCCTCTTTCAGCATCTCAAATTTGAGTTGTGGATCAAGCATCATCGCAATGTAATGAATATTTGACCCATGATCCATATATGCGTAATACTTTTCGTACTTTCTTAGCCCAACTGTCATACTGACATTCGTTGCACTCAGTTTGCTATCAAACTCAAGACCAAACTTAGAAATCTTTTCCTCAAACCTACAAGTCACTATACATATTTTGGCTTGTCACACCAACAACAAGAGCAATACTACTCAACGATTGCTACAACCCTCTATGATTCATTACACGTCATTGCTCCTCAGTTACTGGGCCGATATGACCACATAGCATATCTCTACAACCTTCTATGATTCATTACATGACATCACTCCTTAGTTACTGGGCTAATACTACACATGACATATCTCTATCAACTAGAGGCCTAGGAACATGAACGATAGCTCCAAAAGCTTCTATAACCATCTATGATTCATTACACGTCATCGCTCTTTAGTTACCCACAAGATTGGTTAAGTTATGACATAATTTGTCTATAGGGGTACTCTGACCTTGGACCTCCTTTTACTTCCTATAGGCTATGAACCTAAGAGATGGTTCTATGGAATTCTCTTACGTCGACTGCAGTTACCAAGCCTGGTTAGTCATGGAAAGTCTTGGAAAATGAGAGAACTACACTCCTTTAGCATAAATAGGATTGCCCTTTCCTTAAGAAAGGGCAAGCAGACAATACAGTAAATCGACTATCACATACTTCCACGTCTTTTCCAAGCTTCCAAGCATTGATCTTGTTACTCCTTGTTTCTGAAAAGTCAGTGAGGTGTTAACCTCTGACTTACCCCTGAGTTCTCAGACTCAACATTTGTTGCAACTTGTCTGAACCACTTCACTACATCACACACCTGATTGCTGCGTTGTGGAATAGTCTAAGCTACGACCCTTTGGCTCTGTTTTCTAAGACAGTGTGTTGTCTTAGTAAATTCATCCCTTCCTTGGGTGGCTAGATTCTCACATCTGGTGAACCCACCATTACATAAAGGAGTGTAGTTCTCTCATTTTCCAAGACTTTCCATGACTAACCAGGCTTGGTAACTGTAGTCGACGTAAGAGAATCCCATAGAACCACCTCCTAGGTTCCTAGCCTATAGGAAGTGAAAGGAGGTCCAAGGTCAGAGTACCCCTATAGACAAATTATGTCATAACTTAACCAATCTTGTGGGTAACTAAGGAGCGATGACGTGTAATGAATCATAGATGGTTATAGAAGCTTTTGGAGCTATCGTTCATGTTCCTAGGCCTCTAGTTGATAGAGATATGTCATGTGTAGTATTAGCCCAGTAACTAAGGAGTGATGTCATGTAATGAATCATAGAGGGTTGTAGAGATATGCTATGTGGTCATATCGGCCCAGTAACTAAGGAGCAATGACATGTAATGAATCATAGAGGGTTGTAGCAATCGTTGAGTAGTATTGCTCTTGTTGTTGGTGTGACAAGCCAAAATATGTATAGTGACTTGTAGGTTTGAGGAGGAGATTTCCAAGTTTGCTCTTGAGTTTGATAGCAAACTGAGTGCAACGACTGTCAGTATGACATCAGGGTGTTTCCTCTTGCTAGGAGGCAGGGGATTAAACACAAAGGCTTTCTAAGTAACACGTTATAGTATTGTAAAGAATACTATATTGAGTTGAGCATGAAGCTCCTATCTGTAATGGTGGGTGCACCAGATGTGAGAATCTAGCCACCCAAGGAAGGGATGATTTTACTAAGACAACACACTGTCTTAGGAAACAGAGCCAAAGGGTTGTAGCTTAGACTATTCCACAACGCAGCAATCAGGTGTGTGATGTAGTGAAGTTGTTCAGACAAGTTGCAACAAATGTTGAGTCTGGGAACTCAGGGGTAAGTCAGAGGTTAACACCTCACTGACTTTTCAGAAACAAGGAGTAACAAGATGAATGCTTGGAAGCTTGTAAAAGACGGGGAAGTATGTGATAGTCGATTTACTGTATTGCCTGCTTGCCCTTTCTTAAGGAAAGGGCAATCCTATTTATGCCAAAGGAGTGTAGTTCTCTCATTTTCCATGACTTTCCATGACTAACCAGGCTTGGTAAATGTATTAGAAATCAAGTGCGACCCACAACTAGCTTGCTAATCATGTAGTGAACGTAAGAGAATCCCATAGAACCATCTCTTGGGTTCCTAGCCTATAGGAAGTGAAAAGGAGGTCCAAGGTCAGAGTACCTATAGATAAATTATGTCATAACTTAACCAATCTTGTGGGTAACTAAGGAGCGATGACGTGTAATGAATCATAGAGGGTTGTAGAAGCTTCTAGAGCTATCGTTCATGTTCCTAGGCCTCTAGTTGGTAGAGATATGCCATGTGGTAGTATTGCCCACCCCCTTAAGGAGGAGATTTTCTTAATAACTTGTTCAATGAGTGTTCAAATAATATGCCGTGATGTATGTAGCATAAATAGATGTAGTAGAAGAGTTTGCAGCAATCGTTGAGTAGTATTGCTTCTGTTGTTGGTGTGATAAGCCAAGATATGTATGGTGACTTGTAGGTTTGAGGAGGAGATTTCTAAGTTTGCTCTTGAGTTTGATAGCAAACTGAGTGCAACGAATGTCAGTATGACACTATCTAATTCCCTACTTATATAGTGGCGTCGTGCTTAAGGCTAGGTTATGGAGTTCTATACAAAAATCTACACCTGTTAGGCTAGCCTAGCACAACTTACCCCTATATAGCCTAAGAAAGCCACAGCTTCCGCTAGCCCTATAGGGGCTCTAGGTCAACGTAACATAGCCCTAGAGGATATCTACTCTATATTTCGCAAACTAGCAGTTGGGGTCTAGGTCAAACACCCCTCCATTCCCTTTAACAACACTATACTTTGTTTAAAGACACTCATTTCTATTTTTCCTACTCTGTTACCACCTGCTACTAAGCTATAGAGCTGCAACTCCGTAGCAAGGCCGTAGGGCACACTACACACTACACTCGTAGTGGTTTATAACATTAGTCCTACATACACCCCCTTTTAGGAGAACCTCTAAAACCTAACACCATCCTAACTAGCAGGGAAGGCGCTTAGTCAACGGGCCTTACAGCTACGCAAACACGCAAGAACTGCTCTCTAAGGTCATACTCTATACATAAACCTATAGCTTAGCACTCCCCATACCCTTCGGGAGGTCTTAGGGCTGCGGGTTGCACCCGCGTCCCGCTAGAGGTAAATAAATATCATCATCATCATCATCGACTTCAAATGAGCCAACTGGGTAAATCATATTTTATTTGACTTCAAGTGGGAGAAACGACACCACTACACCGCGTCTCACGGGTTTCCCCCCCCCCCCACCTTTTTGCCCCTTGATTTGCTTCCCTGCTTGTTTTTCCCTCATTTTTTGAGTTATAATATTTAGATTTGAGAATTATATATATATATAATTTTATTTCCATACCTCTCCTCTACCTAGGTCCTAATATTCCCCCATCCCATAACGCATAACTCATACCCTCCGCCGATCAACTTCCCGAACCCCTCATAAACGTCTATATATACCTCCCCATCCACCCCTACTAACTCAGCAACCACAACATATGGCACCAACGAATGCCCTACCAGCGAAGCGGATCGCAAATATGTGTGCGCTCTTGCTCATAGGGTGGAGATGTCAGTTGGTGGCGGTTGGAGGTGAAGACGGCAGTGGGTTGTTGTCGCCAGGAATTCTGAGCGGTGAAAGATCCCGTCACCGTCCAACCAACCTACCCTCCCAAACTAGGCGGTCAAGTAGTTGGCTGGGCATTCCAATTCCAGGTCTCCTGGTTCGCTCGAGTTTGTCTGTTACAATGTTGACTCTTGGACTAAGTCAACCCCAACCAAGACACCCCAAAAAACTGTGGAAAAAACAGATACGATTTAAACCTAGACGCAGATCAATGACGCACGGAAACGAGTCGAGGTAGACACCCCAGCATCTGAATGACGTCCACCAATTTCTGTTTGTCGATGTGTTTGCTGCATGGGGGGCGCGTGGGTTATATACGGTGTTGGTTGAGTCTCTGGAGCTGGATTTCTTTTGGGGGGATTGAAGAGCGGGGTGCGATGTGGTTTGGGGTATTATTAAGTACATACTGTACAATATCTACACACTATCCCTCCGCACAACATATACAAAATCTCATACAACCTCAGCATGGCGCAGTAGCCTCCGCACCCAGCACCTCCTCACCACCCCCCGCTCCCTCTCCCCCTTCCGCACCGGATCCGTCTCGCCCATCTCCACTCCCATCAGTCTCCTCCTCACTCTCCTCCTCCTCAGAGCTACTCCCACTCGAACTGGTATCACTCACCACCTCCTCCTCCCCTCCCTCCTCCTCCTCACTTCCCCCCTCCCCTTCCTCCCCATCTTCTCCCCCACCCCCCTCCTCACCACCCTCAACCTCAAACCCCCCCGGCACAGCAGAACCAGCAGGAAACACATACAGCCTCGGAAACTCCAGGATTAGTTTGCCTAATAACTGTGTGTCTAACCCCTCATCGCCGCGGAGAGGGATTAGGACGGTGGGGCCAGAGGAGAGGGTTAGGGGGCGGTGGAGGTAGAATGTGTATGCACTTTTCGTTTGGGTTTGTGGTGGTTGTGGTTGTGCATGTGTGGGCGTAGCTTTCTCATCTTCCGCTGTAGTGTCGGTGGTAGTATCTGGCAATGGCTGTCCCTCCGCCATCGACGCCTCGCTGGTATCAGGCTGTCCCTCCGGTTGTGGAGCCACCTCAACACCAGGCGAAGGCGAAGGCTTAACCCTCTTCCCCCCTCCCGCACTCTCAGCGACCTCAACAGCTCTCCTCCTCTTCTCCCCAGCTTTCTCTTCAGGCGTCAGAGCCGCGCGCCTCGTTTCCTCCAGAAAAGCGGTGTATGCCTCCTCAAGCGGTGTAGTAGCAAGTATCTTACTCAGCGGTCCCAGCATCCCCGGGACAGTCGGCGTTGTCGCTGCTGATGCGGTGGAAGTTCCGGTGGTAGAAGTGGTAGAAGTGCCGCTGGTGGTGGACGAGTTGGAGGAGGTGCCAGGAGCAACCCACTCAACCTGCCACACCAAACACCCCCTCTTCCTACTCCAACTCGTCCCATTCGCCTTCCTCCTCCCCATCCCCTGCGGCAACCTCTCCCACCTCACCCCCCTCTGTCCTATCTCCCTCGCCACCTTCCTCTGCGTCTCCCCCATTTCCCTCCCCCCTCCCCTCCCTCCCTCCCCCCCTCCCCTCCCCCCTCTCCTCTCCTCCCTCCCAAAACCCGGGCCCCCCCTCACCTCCCCCCCCCAACCAACCCCCCCTCCACAGCAACCCTATCACTCCTCTCCACCCCCCGCTCTATCTTGGATAAAAAATTGAAATCATGGTCGATCCCAGCGGGAGTAGCGAGGTCGCGCATGGGCTTGTAAACAGTCGGATCGCGCATACCAGAGCAGTCGGCGCGTCGCTTGTGGGTTTGGACGCAGGGGAGGGAGCAGGAGCGGAGGTGGCAGCGGGGGCAGGTGTAGAGGGGGGGTGCGAGGTGGCAGGTTTGGCAGAGGGTGTGGAGGGGGGGGTCGGACATTGTTGGGAACGTACGTGGTGGGTGGTGTGGTGGGCGTGTGGTGGTGGCGGTGAGTTGAGTGTTGATTTGGTAGTGGTTGTGGTTGTGTGTATGGGTATCTTGTGATTGTGTGAGGGTATTGCGAATGGTGGTTGAGTGTATGGACTGCGTCTTGGTGTCGGCGGTCTGGTGTCGGCGCTTCGAATGTCGCTGGATAGGATCGCGTGTAGCTGTCGCACAATAGGTCTCTCGTGTAACTTTTCGTGTTCTTCCTCGCGTGAGATGCAAGCTGTCGCCGTGCACTGGGTTCTGCTATGTAGAGATCGCTCAATGGGTATATGTGTCGGAGTGTGTCGTCTGGTTGTGTTGTTATCTTGCCGCAACCGCCGCCAAAGCAATGACGATGATATGGTATTTCGCAGTGTGCTCTTCCAAAGACCTTCTGTTCTCTCAAAAGCAGAATATATCCCCCCAATGAAATTTCTCTTGCGCCCAAAACCCTAAAGAACAAATAATCTTCCTCCCAACGTCGTTGGTTGTACACTTTGTGACCCTGGTCGTCGCTATCCAATCTCCAATCTTGGCCTCTCCCAAAAAAAATTGCGATAAGAAACAACCTTTCTGTCCCATCTTTCCTTATCGCCCCATCACGTGATCCCACCACAATTCTTGTGGGAATTCCCTAGGTACGTACCGTCCTCCCTGTTTACCGTACTCTACATACGGAGTATAACTGGTGCAACTCCCGGCCGGCCGCCGGTGGGGTCTCGGATACTTTGCATACTGCGACGGACGGGCTGTGCCGTTGGTTGTGTTTGTGTCTCGGCTGGAGGCGATGGGCCAATCGGGGGGGTTGGTTTACGAGGCGTAGGGGGGGACTTTGTTTTCGTTGGTGGAGCTACTCGAGTACTGGATTAAAAACACGTGATCGTCTCCTCCTCTCGTCGCACCGGGCCTCGTTCCTCAGTCCGACCCTAATCCCGCCTAGCGTCCTACAAGCCTCCAAGCCCCTCCTGCGCGCCTGCCCGTTCCGGAGCCGGCGGTGGTGGAATCCCTGTTAAATCCCCTAAGATTGAGCGTTACTAGGCTGGATTAGGGATGGGGCGCGGGGGGAGCGGGATGGTGGGGGGGTGGTGTGACGCCCATTGTTTCTTAGGGGAGTGGTTGCAGGGATGTGGGAGGTGGGATGTGGTTGTAGGGGTGTGACGCCCGTTATTTCTTTAGTGGGAGAGTGGGAGACGGTTGATGGGTTTTGGTAGGGAAGTGGTTGCAGGGATGTGGTTGTACAGTACTGTGGTACAGTACAGCGACAAAAGTATTCGTACGGGTCTGTGCTTTTTACCACACAAAAAGAACTCGTACTGTAGGGGAGTGGTGTGACGCCCGTTGTTTCTTTAGTGGCAGACGGTTGATGGGTTTGCTAGGGATGTGGTTGTAGGGGAGTGGCCGTGTACCCTACAGCCAACAACACAAGTACTAAGCATACTGTACCACCACATCCTCCCCAAACATAACGTACTTTCTCTAACTTCCCAAGTATCCCCCCGTACCCACCCCTCCCAGCCACACCCATATCCACGCCCACCACCCAACAATCCACCTATGACGCTTCACACAATGGTCGACTACACCCCAGCGAGGGTACGGAGAGGTACTTAGCTCCCTAAGTAAATACATCCCCCCTCCCCCCTCCCCCCTCCCCCCTCCCCCCTCCCCCTCCCCCCTCCCCCTCCCCCCTCCCCCTCCGTACATACACACACACCAACAGCCAGCACCCACCAGCTCCAACCTCCCTCCAATCTCTCCATCCCCCCCCCCCCCCCCGCCCCCTAGTCCCTCCCTCGTACCTGGGCAAGAGAAACCCGTTACAGAAGCCTCATCTCCTCTTCCCTCCTCACTCTTGGTCCTCCTCCTCACCACCACAAGAGAGAAGCAAACGAAACCTCACTCACCCACCCAGTGAGCAGGAATCAATCCGCCCGACTTGGTGCGTGCACAAGAGTGTAGAGTGTTGTTGTGTACAAGAAAGAGTGAACTGCGTTTGCTATCCCCGTCTTGCCTACTCGCCGGCACCTGTTCGTCGTCGCTTTCATCAACGATTCCAGTCCTCAGCTCCCTCCCTCCGTCCATCGACATCAATCGCCCACCGTTCCGACCAAGCTCGCGAACCCAGAGATCCCACCCAGCGTGGCTCTCTCTCACCCTCACCACCACACCCGCCAACACCCCCCCCCCCAAAAAAAAACCTCACAATGGCTCCCTCCCTCAGCACACACACCTCCTTCGTGCGCCCCCGCACCGGCGACCGCGACCAAAACGACCAACCCCTCGTGATCCCCAGCCGCACCTCGTCGCTGCACTCGCGCATCACCCAGCCCATCCCCTCTACCCTGAACGTCAAGCCGCAGCAGCGCACTCCCAAGACGCTGACACATGCCTACATGGTGTGTGGTGTTGGGCGCGAGCCCGCGCAGTGGGTGAAGGCGCCGGCGCCGGCGCAGGGGAAGATTGGGCATATGAAGGGGGCGGTGGGGCAGTTTTGGCTGCCGGAGATCTTGGGGAGTAGCCCGAGGTTGGAGCAGGATAATGAGAATGCTAGGGCGTTGCATTCGGCTATGAGGGTATGTTTTGATCTGGGGATCGAGAATTGGTGACGGAGTGCTAATTTTTGATTACAGGCTTGCTTCCCTCATGATGTCGAGATTTGCACTGGACGAAGCCAGCCGCATTGCGTGCACCACTCTTTCGTCCTCCAGCAGGACTCCTCCCACACCCTCTACGGTATCGCGCTCCGCGTCTGGTCGAGGGCTGACGAGAAGCGCGCCGAGACCATCAGGGACCTCCGCAAGAGGACGGAATCCGACTTTTACGACCCCGCCGACGAGACATACTGGATCCCATACTGCCTGTCCTTCCTCTCCAGATACCCGCTCTACGACCTGCTCGGCGACTACCTGCGCGGCATGTGGATCCACTGGAACAAGGCCACCAACCTCTTCCACGCCGAGGAGGTCTCGCGCATCCTCAGCTTCCCCGCCCCGCGCCTCAACGACCTCGTCCGCATCGACATGAAGGACTACGCCCTCTGCTACCAGTTCCCCTCCTCGCCCACTGGCTTCCAGAACTTCGCCATGTGGCCCCTCTTCTCCTGCCTCTCCATCCCAAACATCGTGGGCGTCATAGAGGCCGCCCTGTCGCCCACCCGCCGCATCATCTTCGTCAGTCACTACGCCGCTATGCTGACCGTGGCCGCTGAGACGATCCGCTACTGCGTCCGCGTCTACGAGTGGAGCGGTCTCTACGTCCCGGTTGTGCATGCTAGACATGCCACCGAGCTCGTGCAGGAGCCGGGCCCATATATCCTCGGTATCACCGCTGAGTGCAGGACTCTCTTCACTGCGCCAACCGACGCCCTTGTCGTCGACTTGGACCGCAACTTTGTCCTTACTTCCAGCTCACCTTCCGCTCTCAATGCTGGCCAGCGCACCAAGATGGTTAACCGCATGACCCAGGCTCTTAACGGCGACATCACCCCATCTGGCGTTCCTCAGCACCTCAGATCCGCGTACGGAGGCGGCAAGCTCGTCCCAGCTGGCCAGATCATCGTCATGCGCGGTGAGGTCGAGTCGATCCAGAGTCCAGAGTGGTGGAACCAGGATTCCATCATGGCGGTCATGGACCACGTCTGCGAGAAGATGGGCAGGAATACCGGCATCAAGGCCGTCTTCGGCGGAGCCGTCAAGAAGCCTCTGATGACCAAGGTGTCGATGCGCCACCTCAACGAGATCGTCAGGGAGCGCAACCAGTACTCCCGCGACGCGCTCGAGGCATGGCAAGATTTCATCAACCTCAAGGGCAGAATGGACACCGAGCTCGGCAAGGTCACCAAACGGAACAACTTCCTCGTCGAGGAGCTCGAGAGCTGGAAACAGCAATTCCTCAAATTCCAGGCCTTCGCTGAACAGCTCACCAAGGAGACCACGGACCTCAAAGCCAAGATCGAGTCGCACAAGCGCGAAGCCCGCCGCCTCACCACCCTCATCGAGCAGCAGAAGGACGACAGCGCGCGCCTCACCGTCCGCCTCTCCGGCACCGAGAAGCAGCGAGACGACGCCCTCGAGGCGCTGGTCCTGCAGCAGGAGATCGCCGAGGAGCTCGAGCGCGAGCGTAAGCGTAATAAGAAAGAGCTGTCCCAGCTGCAGCACACTAACACTACTATCCTCCGCCAGCGCGACGAGGCGCAGCGTGTTGTTCTTCATCTCCGCTCGCTTATCAGCGGACAGACTCACCATATGGAGCATATTGTCCGTACTCTCGGCAAGGACGAGCTGGCTGAGTACATCGAGAACGGCTACGACGACGAGGACCTCGAGGACATTGCCGAGGAAGCGCCCCGTGACGCCACCACCACCACCGGCGAATCCTCCGCCGACGCCCCCGACTCCCGCGCCTCCTCCCGCGCCCTCTCCCGCGGCGCCGACGTGTCCCCGGAGATGGAAACGCGCCTTTACAACTCCCCCTCCGCCAGCGCGCGCAACTCCAAGCGCCTGAGCAACATGTCCATCATCGACGTCGCGGACCGCCATCTCCGCGACAAGACCGACGCCATCGCGCACATCATCCGCAACATCAGCGAGCAGTGCGCCGCGGCCGTTGAGGGGCTGCAGCTTGCTCATGATGCTGGTGCGGAGGCTGAGGCGATTGCGAGACAGCAGAGACGACTTGCCGCGCAGAGTAGGCATTCTACGGCTAGTGTGGCGAGTGTTAGGAGTGCGGCGAGTGCGGCGAGTGTGGCGAGTGAGGATGGGGAGGGGGGGAGTGATGTGGATGAGTCGTCCCTTTTGCATCCGGGGCGCGCGTCGAGCATCCCGCCGACGCCGGATTTGATACATAACCGCTCCAGCACGGCTATGTCGATCGCCTCCGTCACCACGACCCCGGAGCGCGGATCAGCGCAGTACTCCGACCTGCCCACCAAAATCGCGGAGGACTCGGATGAGAGCGAGGAATCATCCACCTCAACGCCGCAGCAGACGGAGGGGATGCCGACAAAGGGGCGGCATGAGTCTCTCCTCCACCGACCGAGTGGAGCGAGGATTAGTGCGCTGGGTGGACATTGACTCGTTGGGTTTAAACCGCAGAGGCCGGATAGTGGGGGGAGACCTGATAGCCCTATCTTTGGACGGGGTGGTGGGGGGGTAGTGAGGCGGGTGTTAGAGACGGCGGGCGGTTTGAACATGCTAGAGTGGGGGAGGTGGTGGGGGGTGGTGGGGGTGTGGTGGTGAGGGAGATTGGGGTTAGAGAGGGGGAGAGAGAGGTGTGGGGGATAGTCATACACTCGCCACTTTCCGTCGGGAATCGGTAAGGGAAATGCGCGAGTCGCTCGTGAGCGCCGGGAGCGGAGGGAGAGTAACTTGAGTTTTTCATCCTCGGCGTCTTGGCGTGAGAGCGGCGTCAGCGTTTCTTCGCGCCGCTCTGCTCGGCGCGAGAGCGTGGTGAGCGTGGAGGAGACGAAAGAAGGGGGGGGAAGCAGCAGCGGCACCGAGACAGTCTCACCACTCCCTCCGCCGAACTCGAGTAAGAACAACTTGGAGAGGAATAAGGGGGGGTTGCGGCCGTTGAGTCTGGGGGCGCATGAGGTGAGGGCGAGGAGGTGGAGGGATGCTATGGAGGAGTTGAGGAAGGTGTAGATCCCTGTTGCCTGCCTGTGGGGTTTTCGATCCGATCCTTTTGGCTGTTTCATTGTTGTTGGAGTGTGAGTGGTTTGAGGAAGAGGGAGAGGGAGACGATGGGTGTCTGTGGCGTCTACGCAACTGTGTTTCTTATCTATTACCCTTTGTTTTCTTCTTCTCGATATACCTACCGAGCTGTTATTTTTAGTTCTTTTAGCGCCGAGAGAGGGGTGGTGGCATGTCTGCTGTATTTTGATCTCCTTGTTTCTGTCCTGTCTTTTTCATCTGTATTGTTTGTCATGATATCTCATCTACAGTTTTTATTTTAGCTAGTTTAGTTTTAGTTAGGACTTGTGCTTCTCTATATCCCATTTGAAATTCTGTAGCAACGTTTATCTAACCAACTTACCTTACCATCTTACCGTTTGCTGATGCCTTTTATTGGACTTCTTGAGAGTAAACCGTGTCGCCTGCTGCTGTGCGTGAAGGGGGGTTTCTATCCTTCTTTTGAACGACAGGATAGGACCCTACATACCTACCTGCGACTAAGCTGTGGAGAATAGATGGATGGATGGATGGGGTGTGTGTCTGAAGAGTGGCGGTTGATGGGGCGGGGGAGGGATAAAGAATCTTTTAGGAATTAGGGGTTTGGAATAGGATTTTTTTTTTATGGAGGTTTGGGTGGTTATTCTTCTTCGTTTTGTGGGGAGTGATTGAGTTGAGTGGATGAGTGAGTGAGCGAGGGGCTTGTTGTGAGAGTGAGTATCCTGTCCTGATGACAATTTCTTCTTAACTTCCGCCCTTCCCCCCTCCCCCCCCCGTTTTCATCCTCCCTCCACCTCCCCCTAAACAAACCCCGCCACCCCGCCCCTCACCTACTAACAATCAGCAACCATCCCCCCCAGCACGGCGCTCTCCTCCGACGAGATCATTAATCTTGCCTGCGTCTTGCTGGTGGTGGCTGCTGTCGTTGTTGTTGAGAGTATTGTGATGAGGGTTTTTGATAGGTGGTATAGAGAAGGGGGGGCGGGGGGGGGATGTTTTGAGGGTTAGGGTGGGAAATAGCGATGGGGGGGGGCTGAGTGGTGAGTGAGTGGGTGGCTGGCTTGTTGTTGAGAGTGAGTAAAGTATCCTTCCTGATGCCAATCCCTTCTTAAATTCCATCCTTTCCCCCTTTCCCCCTTTCCCCCTTTCCCCCTTTCCCCCTTTCCCCCTTTCCCCCTTTCCCCTTTCCCCCTTTCCCCCTTTCCCCCTTTCCCCCTTTCCCCCTTTCCCCCTTTCCCCTTTCCCCCTTTCCCCTTTCCCCCTTTCCCCCTTTCCCCCTTTCCCCCTTTCCCCCTTTCCCCCTTTCCCCCTTTCCCCCTTTCCCCTTTCCCCCTTTCCCCTTCCCCTTTCCCCCTTTCCCCCTTTCCCCCTTTCCCCTTTCCCCCTTTCCCCCCATACTCCCTCATCCACTTCCATCCATACCAACCCCGCCACCACCCCCCTACCAACAATCAGCAACCGTAACCCCTAGCACCGCGCTCTCCCCCCTCGCCTCCTTGCTCACTATATAGTGCACTAAATCTAAGTTTGGACAATCTTTATCTCCATACTCAAGACGCAGCAGTATGTTTATGAATATGCGTTTCGACCGCGTTCTTGCTGGTATTATGGACGGACGGTGGGAGTTGGGGGACGGAGCGGACGAGAGGTCACTGATCTTGCCTGCGTCTTGTCGGTGAATGCTGTCTTTTGTTGTTAAGAGGATCTTGATGGGGGTTTTTGATAGGGGGCGGGGGGGGGGGGAGGAATGTTTTAGGGGGGAGGGCTTTATTGAGGGGTTTGGGGTGAGTGAGTGAGTGAGTGAGTGAGTGACTAGCTGGCTGTTTTGTTGTTTGAGTGTGATTATTGCAATGTCAGTTTTTTAGGGGTCTTATTCTTCTTCCATTTCTTTATTTCTTTGCAAGACTGCTGTCTTGTCGTTGAGAGTATCCTAACAGGGCATAATAATCATGACTAACGTAGTCCACAAGTGGGCGGTCCACCCAAGTGCGCGGTCCACGCCAATTAACACTGAATGCTTCTTCACTTCTTAACTTCACCACATCACCAATTCAAATGGCTTCCGCTCAAAAAGAAGCTCAATTAGTCTTAGCTATCCAGGCTATCCAAAATACACCTAAACTTAGCATTCGACGCGCGGCAGTCATTTACAATGTCTCCCATACAACGCTCCAAGCGCGTCTCTATGGCTGGCAATCAATACACAATATTCAACCTAAAGCACAAAAGCTTACGAAACTAGAAGAATGTATGATAGTTTAGAGGGTTCTTAAACTAGATTCTCAAGCATTTCCTCCTAGGTTAAGTGCTGTGGAAGTATGGCAAATCGATTATTACGCGACCGCGACGCGTCACATGTTAGTAAGAACTAGGCAACGAACTTTGTTCGGCGACAACCACAGCTTAAAAGCATATTTAGTCATAAATACGACTATGTCATACTGACATTCGTTGCACTCAGTTTGCTATCAAACTCAAGAGCAAACTTAGAAATCTCCTCCTCAAACCTACAAGTCACTATACATATTTTGGCTTATCACACCAACAACAAGAGCAACGATTGCTACAACCCTCTATGATTCATTACACATCATCGCTCCTTAGTTACTGGGCTGATATTACCACATAGCATATCTCTACAACCCTCTATGATTCATTACATGACATCACTCCTTAGTTACTGGGCTAATACTACCACATGACATATCTCTATCAACTAGAAGCCTAGGAACATGAACGATAGCTCCAAAAGCTTCTACAACCCTCTATGATTCATTACACGTCATCGCTCCTTAGTTACCCACAAGATTGGTTAAGTTATGTCTATAGGGGTACTCTGACCTTGGACCTCCTTTCACTTCCTATAGGCTAGGAACCTAAGAGATGGTTCTATGGGATCTCTCTTACGTTGACTACAGTTACCAAGCCTGGTTAGTCATGGAAAGTCAATTAGGTTGTTTGGTGTCTAAAAAACCGAAGGTTAAGCGGTATTTAGGCGGGTAGTTAGAGGTGTTAGTGTCTAAAACCTAAGATCAAGTCTAGAGATCACACTCTAAGGGTTGAATAGGAGAAGTCCTACACCTTAGAAGCCTCCTTAAATGTTGCTTTCTATCATTACAATGTTAAATGCAGCATAAAAGGTAGGAAAGAAGTCATCCTTAGTAATGTAAGTAATATAAGCCTGTATTATATCTTCAATTTGCTGACCATAAGCCTTTTTTAATAGGCTGAAACAGCTAACATCAAGTGGCTGGAGTAAATGGGAGGAGTGAGCAGGCATACAAAGCGTAATAATGTTGTGTTCCTTATAGTACTCCTTAAACTCATCTAAGTGGTGGCTCTCATGACTATTAAGGACTAAGAGGTGATAACCACTAACAGTCTAGGGCTTTGTATGCTTCTCAAAATGCTAAATCTAATCCATGCCTCTCTTATTTGTAGTCTAGCCATTTTCAGTAACAGCAATGACCTAATCGCTTAGAAATCCACTATTCTCATACTAAGATATAAGGTGATTTTTGCCTATAACAATGACAAATGGTAGCACTACCCAACCTTAGGAACTAATGTTTTGGATTACTATAACCTATTATTGCTAGGCTGTACCTTCTTTGCTTTTGCCTGCCTGTCTAAGATTGTTATAACCATAGCAGTTGAGATAACACCTATCATAAACCTAGTCTTATCAAAGTTGTAGATATTGGCTTCATAGATGCTATATTTCACAATTGTGTTGTGCATAAGCTCAAACCAACCACAGAGGACTTTTGGGTCCTTGCACTTAGCCCTCTAGTAGTTGTATTTACACTAGAAGCATGTCTAGAGCTCTACACACCGCTTAGCAAAGTTTAAAGCCTAACGTGACCTAATTCATAGAGTGTCATATGTTACAAGTAGTTAATTTGCCATATCTTTAGAGGAAATCCTTTAGCAGCTAGGTCAAGTATGTGTTGAACAAGAACTGATTACTCTAGGTTTGTCAATTTCTGTGAATTAGCTAGAATATCATGCCGTGTAGGTATACTATGGTTCTAGTGACAGAGCTTCTTATAATTAACTTTATAAAGCTCCCCTATAGCTCTTGCACGTAGCTTTAGGTTGGGTTTCATAGCTTAGAGGGCTAAAATAAGGTCTCTTTTATCATTTTTCTAGGACATCGTTTATGGTAGAGAAATATAGTGTTTTATGTAGTTGTCATGTTAGCACATCTAAGTGAGGCTTTCTATAATAGGGTGCCAACCATTATAGTGCATTGTATATATGGCGTGTTATGTGTATTCTACTAAGCTAGAATAGTATAATCGTCAGAACCAACCCTATTGCCTATGTAATAAGGTCAGTTCTAACAATTATTCTTTTTGGCTTAGTAGGATGTAGTGCAAGCATAACTGTACATCATTACACTTTCGCTTGTCTAGGGCTTTTGCTATACATGTACGTTAATGTACTTGTATAATGAGTAGCTATGTATAATGAGTGGCCACCTCTACTGCACTTAATCCCTTTTATAATAGCTATAGAAACCACAACACCAAATCAATTAAAACTACTCGGAATCATCTTCTCTAAAGGTTACTACTACCACTTAACAGGTTCGTGCATTATGACTAGCCATACTGCAAACACTACAGTGCTAGGTGTGTACTTAAGCCCCCTCTACATGACGACTACTACAATTTGTTTCAATCTTCAACTGCTCACCTATATCCTTCTCAGCCATTAGATCCTCTGCTTCCTATATACTAAGTGATCCTCCTGCCTATAGACATGTTTTTTTAGCCCTCTAGCACTTGCTAAGAACCTTATTTGCTGTACGAAGGTCATTTAGCTCAGCCTGCATTAACACAAGCTTGTATGCCATCTTTAACATACCTCTTGCCGAGGCATCAATCATGTTGTACATATAGGTTAGGGAGCTATTTTAATGCCTAGTAATCTTATTCTTAATGGTAGTTGACTGTTGAGTGATCTTAGATGCTGTCTTAGGCGTCTTTGTAACCTAAGATTAAGCTGTCCCTAGGCGTGTGTTTAGCAGCAAAGGTGTCATTAGCTTCAGATCTAGCTAGGAAGCACAGCTTTAGGGTTAAGAGGTGTCATACTGACATTCGTTGCACTCAGTTTGCTATCAAACTCAAGAGCAAACTTGGAAATCTCCTCCTCAAACCTACAAGTCACTATACATATTTTGGCTTATCACACCAACAACAAGAGCAATACTACTCAACGATTGCTACAACCATCTATGATTCATTACACGTCATCGCTCCTTAGTTACTGGGCCGATATTACCACATAGCATATCTCTACAACCCTCTATGATTCATTACATGACATCACTCATACTACCACATGACATATCTCTACCAACTAGAGGCCTAGGAGCATGAACGATAGCTCTAAAAGCTCCTACGAACCTCTATGATTCATTACATGTCATCGCTCTTTAGTTACCCACAAGATTGGTTAAGTTATGACATAATTTGTCTATGACATAATTTGTCTATAGGGGTACTCTGACCTTGGACCTCCTTTTACTTCCTATAGGCTACGAACCTAAGAGATGGTTCTATGGGATTCTCTTACGTCTACTACAGTTACCAAGCCTGGTAAGTCATGGAAAGTCTTGGAAAATGAGAGAACTACACTCCTTTAGCATAAATAGGATTGCCCTTTCCTTAAGAAAGGGCAAGCAGACAATACAGTAAATCGACTATCACATACTTCCACGTCTTTTCCAAGCTTCCAAGCATTCATCTTGTTACTCCTTGTTTCTGAAAAGTCAGTGAGGTGTTAACCTCTGACTTACCCCTGAGTTCCCAGACTCAACATTTGTTGCAACTTGTCTGAACCACTTCACTACATCACACACCTGATTGCTGCGTTGTGGAATAGTCTAAGCTACGACCCTTTGGCTCTGTTTTCTAAGACAGTGTGTTGTCTTAGTAAATTCATCCCTTCCTTGGGTGGCTAGATTCTCACATCTGGTGCACCCACCATTACAAGAGGGACAAGACTAGTTGCTCTAAAGCCTGCCTGTACGTTGTTTTCAGTCATAGCTATGTTAAAAGCCTCTAAAAATGAGTCTAAAAAGTTTTCCTTCACGATGTGAGTGATTTGCATCCACATCATCTTCTTGATTTGCTTCCTGTACGAAGCCTTAAGCGGGCTAAAACAACTGACATCAAGAGGCTAGAGGATATGTGATGAATGGGGAGGCATACAAAGTGGTAGGATGCTGTTGGCCTTATAGTAGTCGTTAAACTTAGTAGAGTGGTGGCTTGTGTGGCCGTCAAGGACTACACCTTTCGTATGAGCCTTCGTGCATTGATCAAAGTGCTTAATCCTATCTAAACCAATCTCGTTTGTAGTCTAGCCGTTAGTACTTATATGGATCCTCCAATCGCTCAGGAATCGACCGTTCTAATACCAAGGTGTAAGGTGGAATTTGCCCTTTACAACTATGTACAGAGGCAGCGTCTAGCCAGTTGCACATACTCCCTAGATTACTGTAACAAACTCTCGATTGCCTAGTCGGAGCTTGTAACAACCTTTGCGCTCGAGAGCATGCCCATTAGAAACCTGGTCTCGTTGAAATTATAGATGTCTGCCTCCTAGATACTGTACTTGGCAATCATAGTCCGTACGAGCCAAAACCATGCGTTTACCACGTCTGGATCTTCGCATTAGGCCCTCTAATAGTCGATTCGACGTCGAAAACGCGTAGTAAGCTCGAGATGACGCTTAACAAAGTTCTCTGCCCATCGTGGTCTAACACGCGACACGTCGCGGTCCGTACAAAGGCGATCGGCCATTTCTCGAACGTCTTCAAGCTGGGGCTGAAATCCTCGCAAATCTAGGTCGAGTATCCGCTCTAGGTCGGTCAACTTTCTTAAGTTGGCGGAGATATCGCGTCGTGAGTCATGCCCGGCGCGTCGGCAACGAAGGGTTGTACGAGGGACGTTGTAGGTTGTAGCTGCAGATGAGACTGTAAGAGCAGGGTCGTTTTTAAGGGCTCTAATAGCAAAGTAATGCGACTTTCAATTGAAGACATTTCCATCTTTTTTCGTGGAAGAAAGTACTGTGCAATGTAGAAGCAGTAAAATTGGTGGTGGAGGTGGCCACTCGTTATACATGGCTACTCGTTAAGTAAGTATGTTATATGATTGTAATACAATATGGTCTTCTGCCATATGATTGTAATATTGGAATTTCATTCCAATATATTGCCAGCACACTATTGGCAACACTGCCCTCGAATAACCCACTGCCCACCATAGGGGCTCAGATGACAGCGGAGTTCGGCCGCCTTTGTCCTTGGAGTCAGCTTCAACGTTGTCCTGTTCAACAAGCAGCTTTTCAATTGTTTGCTGGATGGGAAGGGCATGTGTTCCCCAGTATCGAGCAGCGTAGTCTAAGAACGGGTTCTGTTTAATCCCACTCTCAAACTCTGCATCGCTGTTGGAGCGGCCAGTGCTGAAAGTTTGGAAGGGTGAGCGCCGCGGAAGGATGCATTGCTTGGTAGGTGACGGACGGGAGTATCCGCACCGCCAATCGCTAGGGTCGCGCTTATATATATATATTTTGGCAATCAGTATCAATACCCCACTATCAACAATATACCCCGCCATCACACGATACGGAAGCAGAACGTCGCTCTTATACCACAAAATACCTCTCGCTAGCTGTACTATAGCTGTACTGCAGAGACCGTATCTCCTGAAGAAGGCCAGAGAATCCAGACTTCCTGCGTGACTTTCTTCAACGTCACGGGACGGACAGACAGGTGGGCCATGGAAACAACCAATGCGCCGCCACCAGGAGTAGAAGAAATAAAACAACATCTCGATGAAAGAGGTATGGGAGAGGAGATTGCGAGGTTATACCTTGACTGTCCTTCTCAATCCGCAAAGGACGTGAAATCATGGCTCGAATCTAGCACCCACTTCCACCGCTCCGAGAAAATAATCCCCGCCCCCTCATCACCCTCCTCTTCCACCTCCGCGCCACACCTACGCATCCCCACTACCATCCTACTCCCATTATCTACTTCTCCGGCTGAGGCGCGCGCGGCCCTTCCCTCACCACCTCCAGAATCTGGGCTCATGGAGAGGATTTCCGTTGTGCTACTGCCTGTTTCCCCTGCTAGCAACGCGCTGGGGGAACTGGGAACAGCATCAAAAGCTTCACACCACCTCTCCGACCCCTTCCTTACTTTTCTCTCTCACCCCGCTGTCAGCTCAGTAGTTGACTCACAAGCTCGAGAGTCCCTCCTCTCCACCCTCCCAAAACGATACACCGTCTACACTCCACTGGCCCTCCTACCCACCGGCAGCCTATCCTCAGACGCCTGGCAGGCCGTGCTGGACAACACCCCTCCCGTGGTGGTAGAGGAGCTATGGACTGGCGTCCTGGGCGCCATTACGCGACTTGGGGGGGAGAAAGTGACGCACCTAGCTATCAACCATCCCATCCCCGGTTCCGCCGAGGATGAGAATATCATCCGCGCCCCTTCGCACCTACGCGCTCTCTTCGGCGACTTCGGCCCCACCATCTCCGCTAAGAGGTGGGCGCTTGGCCCTGGGTTAGTGACAGGGGCTGGGGAGGGAGAGGGAGGGGAGGGAGAGCCGATAGGGGAAGAAGATTTTAAAAATGCGTTCTGGGTGCGGACGAGACAGAATGGGATTTTCCAGTCCTGGGCCCCGCGTTGGACGATGTTCAGTCGTGGGAATGTTACTGAGAAGGCGAGGGTCCTCCGCTTCGGCGCTGCGTCATGGTGGCTGAGTGCTGTTGGTGGTGGTGGTGGTACTGCCTCTGGTGGTAGTGATGGGCGAAATGGGGAACAGGTGCAAATAGCGGTGGATTTATACGCCGGAATCGGGTATTTCACACTCTCCTACCTCTCGCGGGGGTACGCGGTGTTGGCGTGGGAGATTAATCCGTTTTCTATTGAAGGCCTACGGCGCGGTGCGCTGGGTAATGGGTTTGAAGTGCTTGTGGTAAAGGGGGCAGTGGACTGGGAGGCGGTTAGGGAGACGGTGGAGAAGAGGGGCGTGGTTGTTTTTGCAGAGGATAATAAGTTTGCGTGGGCGAGGTTTCAGGAGGGGTTGCAGGAGCTGGGGAAGAAGGGGGTGGTAGGAGGGGTGGAGGGGAGGTGGAAGGTGAGACATGTTAATCTTGGCTTACTGCCGTCGTCGAGGATGGGATGGGAGGTTGGAGGAAGGTTTTTGGGAGAGGGTCAGGGGGGTTGGATGCATGTGCATGAGAATGTTAAAGAATCGGGTCGGAAGGAGATGGTGAAGGGAGATGAGATTGTGGAGGTTGTTAGGGGGGTTGTTGGGGGTGGTGGAAGGGGGGAAGTGGAAAGGGAGGAAGAGGAAGGCAGAGAAGGAGGAGAAGAAAGGAAGGAGATAAATGTCGAGGTTAGGAGTGTAGCGATGGTGAAGGGGTTTGGACCTGGAGTTAATCATATGGTTTTTGATGTGTGGGTTGGGCCGAAAGGGGTGGGTGCTGGGATGCGTTGGGGGTTGTTGGGTGGGACATATGGCATGTAATAATTAGAACGGTTGGGTGGCTTGGTATATATCGTATACATATCGTATATATATCCTAGATGCTATGGTAGATAATGGCTGCGAAGCCTATATAATGGAGAGTTGCAAAGAAAAGGAGGCTGAGTCACCAAGTGAAGAGGGTAGAAGTTGACTAGAAAGAAACTGATTAGGAAAAAGTGAGTCGTCAGAAGTCGTTTTACAACCTCATAACCTCGTTTTTTTGTCGCCACGAATAGGAATTATGGCAGTGGCTTTCGATGGCACAGAATAGTCGGTTTATGATGAAGATTTTGGATCGGAGATTAGCCCAACTGATGCGATTCACAACCCGATCTTATGACTCAATTAGTAGTCGAGTATGGTAACTATGCCATGCTATTAATGGGACTCGTCCTCCTTAAAAGTCTAGAGAGGGACTGTGGATAACAGCACTGTCTGCAGCAACTGTAGTTCAAATAGGTATGGCTAATCACCCGAGGCCACAGCACCATGTACAGCAACTTAGTTTTAGTTCAAGTAGGTATGGTTAATCACTCGAGGGTACAATCACCATTTACAGCAACTGTAGTTCAAGTAAATGCGTCCAGTCACTCAAGACTACAATCAATTATAGGTGAGAAAATGACGAAGCCACCGTAATATAGCCAATTCTATCAAGGTTATGACACTATAGGACTCTGCGGCAGAGTCTCTGCCATATTTGAGGTGAGCTTTGTCATGGATATAGTATAATTCTGCGAAGTTTATCATATTTATGAACATGAAGAGGCCATCGGCAGCATGAAAGCCATATAGAGACACAGAAGATGACGAGCAATAAAAACGCCCCCTCCTCGAGCCAAGTCACCCCAACTACCGACTCAGTCCCGAAGAACAACTACCCCTACTTCCCAACCTCATCCATCTCCAGCGCTTAGACATATGCCCAGACCTATGTTCATCTGCATCTCCATCTGCATTTTCATCTCCATCGCCACGTCACTCCCCAGCCATCTTCCCCCCATAATCACCTAACCTCGCGCACACCTACAACTATTTTCTCAAATTGACAAATTGCTCAAAACTTTTCGCCCTGGACCCTCAGGGCTCTACTTCTAGTCAATTACGCATTATAACTCCCATCTCCATCCATTCCTGCTCCTTTCGAGCATCCCTAGTAATGGAGGCCTCAACTCCCTAACGGCTGGATATAGGCCCCTAAGACAGCGCTTTTACTCGCCCCTAGGAACTACAATCACCATCCAACCTCAACTGCACTTCTAAGAGACAACAGAAGACACTTAGTACCAACACTGTGCCTCCTCCATGCCTTAGCTTAGGTGAAAGCGCGCCTAACAGTCATGAAGCAACAGCAGCCATTAGTGGCCAACTTGATGCCATTGAAAGGGAAGACAAGATATAGCTATATATGATTTCGATAGCATAGTAGACAAGTTTGTGTCCTCCTACAAGCTCCTAGAGCATTACACTTTCAGCTATAGCCTCTATAACAAGGTAGTTAGCTTTCTCACTGCCTCTCTATATGTAGAAACTTTTAACTACACCCCTATCTGTCTTAGAAGCTAGCCCTCTGTAATGGTGGGTGCACCAGATGTGAGAATCTAGCCACCCACAAGGAAGGGATTACTTTACTAAGACAACACACTGTCTTAGGAAACAGAGCCAAAGGGTTGTAGCTTAGACTATTCCACAATGCAGCAATCAGGTGTATGATGTAGTGAAGTGGTTTAGACAAGTTGTAACAAATGTTGAGTCTGAGAACTCAGGGGTAAGTCAGAGGTTAGCACCTCACTGACTTTTCAGAAACAAAGAATAAGAAGATCAATGCTTGGAAGCTTGGAAAAGACATAGAAGTATGTGCTAGTCGATTTTCTGTATTGTCTGCTTGCCCTTTCTTAAGGAAAGGGCAATCCTATTTATGCTAAAGGAGTGTAGTTCTCTCATTTTCCAAGACTTTCCATGACTAACCAGGCTTGGTAACTGTATTAGAAATCAAGTGCGACCCACAACTAGCTTGCTAATTATGTAGTGAACGTAAGAGAATCCCATAGAACCATCTCTTGGGTTCCTAGCCTATAGAAGTGAAAAGGAGGTCCAAGGTCAGAGTACCCCTATAGACAAATTATGTCATAACTTAACCAATCTTGTGGGTAACTAAGGAGTGATGATGTATAATGAATCATAGAGGGTTGCAGAAGCTTCTAGAGCTATCGTTCATGTTCCTAGGCCTCTAGTTGATAGAGATATGTCATGTGGTAGTATTAGCCCAGTAACTAAGGAGTGATGTCATGTAATGAATCATAGAGGGTTGTAGCAATCGTTGAGTAGTATTGCTCTTGTTGTTGGTGTGACAAGCCAAAATATGTATAGTGACTTGTAGGTTTGAGGAGGAGATTTCTAAGTTTGCTCTTGAGTTCGATAGCAAACTGAGTGCGACGAATGTCAGTATGACATAGGAGCCCTCCACTAAGGCACAGAGCTTGCTAGATAGGTGTAACGCTGACTTCTAAACGATAGAAGACACAGAGGTTCTCTTGCGTAAAGGTTTACTTATCAGAGGAGGCAGGGGATCAGACACAAAGGCTTCAAGTAACACGTTACTAGTATATAACAAATACTGTATTGAGTTGAGCACGAAGCTCCTATCTAAGGAAATACTATCTACTTATATAGTGGCGTCGTGCCTAGTGGACTCTTGGGAACTCACTCGAGTCCTCGGAGTCCTGGACTCTTAGGACTCTTCTCATCATCCTGCGAGTCCATCACGTGCCTAGTGGACTCCTGGGAACTCACTCGAGTCCTCGGAGTCCTGGACTCTTAGGACTCTTCTCATCATCCTGCGAGTCCGTCACGTGATACTTTCGGAACTACTATTCCCCGCTGCCCCTCCAGGTACCAGGGCCGGTCTCATGCGACCTCCCTCCTTCCTGTCCTGTAGTTGGCCAGCCTTCTTGTTCCGTCGTAACACTCGCTCCCTTCCCCTGGGCATTCGTCTCGAATCCTATAAGTACGTCCATGTCCCCGGGACTCTGCTGCTCCTCAGCGAGTCCTTCAACATGCAACATGCCTACTGACACTGCCCGCAAACTCCAGGAACGTAACGATCTTGTCCGTCGAATAAAGAACCACGGATACGAACTACCCGAAATGGATTCTTGCTCGAACTGCGTGAGGCGAAACATTACTTGCGTGTCGTCTCCAAATGATTCACGGCGGTGCGCCGAGTGCGTTCGTCGCAACTTGAAAGAAAAGTGTGACTGTATGGGTCCTGAGCATCCCGATTGGGTGAAGCTCGAACGGGAGGAGGATCGCCTGGATCGCGAAGAGGAAGAAACCCTTTCGAAGTTACTTCGTCTGCGGAAGCAGAAACGCCTCATCCGAACCCGTGGTAAAGATATGCTCCGGCGAGGTTTGAAAACCCTCGACGAGCTTGATGCGGCAGAGGAGGCCGAACGTGTGGCTGCTGAGAAGCGTGACGCTGTTGAGGCTGAGGAACAGGCAGTTAGCGCTGCCTCCTCGTCTGTGACCGGGACCCTCGCTTCCTCCGATCCACTGGCCTACTCCCCTGCATCTTGGGATCAATGGCTGGTGGATGGCGGCGTCGATATTCCTCCAGCAGTTCTTTGCTGATGTTCCTTGTTGGTTCCCACGAATTATCCGTAGGTTTGTAATTTTCCCATTTTATCAAAAACTCTTCTCGACGTCCTACTAACCTTCTGTCTAGGATCGTTTCGACCTCATATTCGATTATCTCATTCTCGGGTTGGAGTTCGGTGTCGGTCGCAATTGGGGTATTTCCTCTTGCTGGTTCCAGTAGTGAGACATGAAATACCGGGTGTAGTCTAGACTTCCTGGGTAGCTGCAGTCTGTAATTAACTGAGCTGACTTTGTTCAATATTTTAAATGGTCCCAATTTCTTGAAGTCCAACTTTGTGCTTGGTCGTTTCGTTTTGATATGTTTCCAGAGTAGGTATACTTTATCCCCCTCCTTGAAGGCAGGTTCCATACTGCGCTTCTTGTTTGCGTATGCGGCGGATCGTTCATTTAAGAATTGGATGTCCATCGCAAGTTGTTCGTGGAACGATTTCAGTTGTTCCACCACGATCAGGGCTTGTTCAGCTCGTGATTCATCCGGTCTTGGTTGCCTATATGCTTCTGGCTGGTAGCCATAATTGGCAAAGAACGGTGAGACTTTCGTTGCTTCTGTCATCGCGCTGTTATATGCAAACTGTGCGATGGGTAAGATCTGAACCCAGTTGTCCTGTTGATGATTGACATAGCTTCGCAGGTACTGTTCAAGGGTCTGATTTAATCTTTCTGTTTGGCCATCTGTCTGGGGATGAAAAGCTGTTGATAGCTTATGATTTGTTCCCAGTAGCGCCATCAATGATTTCCAGAATTTCGAAGTAAAGAGCTTGTCTCTATCTGAGATGATTTCTTCTGGCATCCCATGATCGGCTAATATGACTCGAATGAAGGTATATGCGAGCGCCTCGGCGTCGCTAGCTTCTAGATATGGTATAAACTTCCCATATTTCGTGAGTCTTTCCGTGATGACGAGGATAGAGTCATATTCTATTCCTGTTAACGGGTCCTTGGAGGGTGGAAGCTTGACGATGAAGTCCAAAGCTATTGATTTCCACGCTCCTTTTGGTACTGGTGTCGACTTGAGTTGTCCGTATGGCAGATGCCTATTGGATTTTGACTTGCTGCAAATGTCGCACTCTCTTACCACTGTCTCTACCTGCTTCCTCATACCTGGGAAGTAGTAGTGTCGAGTGATTCGTTCGAAGGTTCGTGTTACTCCCTGATGACCGTGTGCTGGTAACGAGTGTTGTTCTTGCACCAGCGGGCGTCTCATTTGACTTGGGACATACACTAACCCTTTGTATCGAATCAATCCTTGCTCGTCGATGGTGAAGTCGCCTTCGACTTTGGACAAGACTCGCTTGGCGCATTCGTCTGTTGCGTAAGCTTTCTTGAGTCTTTCCTCGAGTTCT